TTGTGTTTTTCGGAGAGGTGTGTGAAAGGTTTATAGATCCTCCGGTTTCTGTAGTCCTCGATGGAGACTACCAATCCTTTTCTCGATTCTGGGTTCATAGGAAGGAGTTTTCCAATGAGGAAGTCAGCTTGGGTCCTTGGCATGGATTTATTTATCGACGAACCTTTCAAACGAGACCATTTCATTTACACTTGTTTATCAAAAAACTTGGTGAAAAAGTGGACAATACGAAATTGAGTGATATTTCCATTCGAACACTGACATTGTCTGAATGATGAACAAGGAATAGTGTTGAATTATTTTAGGATCCTAAATGATCCTTTGGAATTTCTTGTTGTGGAAATTTTGTAAATTGAAATTAAAAAAAATGATGAATCGAATTCGTGATGCTTTAGCATGCTCGGAGCCAACAATTGAAGAGAATGAAAAGAGAGTGGAATGGATTCACAGATCCATGATGAATTTGAATAATGAGGATGATGTTGCTCGGATTTGTCCTTCTTGTTTGCAACCAATTGTTGTTGTCGAGAAAATGAATCATCACACGAAAAGCTTGTATTACCAAGTTGATGAATTATTGGAACATGTTTCAATTTGTTTAAATTTATGGAATAATGAAAGAAGGAAATTGTTTGGAGAAAATAATGAAGAGCCCAACATGAACGAAATTTCCACAAAGATCAAAAAATCCTCCACCAATAATGACAATTCTGAAAACTCTCTCACCAAATTGGATGATGTACTTGGTGATGACATGTTGTATCATTTTCTGACATTTCTTGATCAGAGTTTCCTCATTCACACCTGCATGAGAGTTTCAAAACATTGATATGAAAAAGTGCTTTTGATTCCCATGTCTTTATCACTGCGTAATAATAAGGCTCACTCTCTTTCCAAATTACATTCCATCACATCCGATCCAAACACATTTAACTTTACAAGTCTCTGTATCTCAGCGTCTGAAGAGCTTACAATATCAGCTGACATGATTGGGCTGATTACCAGAAGTAACAAATTTCCTAACCTCGAGTCGTTATGTCTAAATTCAGACTTTGGAAAAGAAGATGTTATGACATCACTTCAGGATGCTTCAAGTCATTGACCAAATTGGATTTGTTCCCAATACGAGTACTCTGTAACAGTGAGCACATCAAAAAGCTAAATCATTTGGAACTAATTGATTGTAATGTAAGCAAGGATGGAGTGATGACACTTACTAATTGTTCTTCAATGAGAAATTTAACATATTTGAGCCTTTCATTCAACAGCTTTGGTGCTGAAGATGTGCAACTCATTGCGAACAGTAGCATTTTGAGAAATCTTGAAGTTTTGAATCTACTGCTAAATGTCTGTCTAACAGTCCTCATTTAACAACCATTACAAAATTAGATATTGGATTTAATAATATTGGGAATGAAGAAATTTCAGTACTTTGTGAAACAGAATTTTTGAGAAATGTTACAGATTTAAATCTGTCAAGCAATGAGATCACAGACCAAGGCATCTCTTTGTTGACCAAAAATAGTTCAAACATGACCAATCTGACTGTATTACTCGTCAGTGGCAATCCAATATCAGCAAATGGAGCAAAATTAATTGCCACCAGCAAGGCCATGCAAAAATTGAAAAAACTTTCTTTGAGGAACTGTAACATAGGTGATGAGGGAATGTCTGCCATTTGTAACAGTGATTTTTTGAATAATTTGACAGAGCTTACGGTTGACGATAACAACTTTACAGACACAGGTGCAGCAGCTTTAGTCTCTAGCTCTTTTTGTAACAAACTAGAATCATTATCATTGAACCGTAACAAAATTGGACTTTTTGGGGCGCGCATGCTATTAGCAGCATCATTCACACGTCTGAGGTCACTACATTTGACAAGGTGTGGCATTGAAGATAGTGGAGTTTTCGTTATTGCCAATAATCCAACATGTTGCCAACTGAAAGACCTATCCATTGATAGCAATGATGTTTCTTCTGAAGGAGTTCGAGCCATCTGTAACAGTTCATGTCTGAAGAATTTGTCCACATTATCCTTGTGTGGCAATAATATCAGAAATGATGATGTTATATTAATTGTCCATAATTTGAGGAAATTGATTTTTTTATGCACAAGTAGTCTGTCAGATCCTCAGCTTAAGATTACTTTGTCAAAATGTCTCCCTCATTGCCGCTTTGTCAATTGTTAAATATTGATTATTATGATCACTCAGAAATTCATTGAAATAGGAGAATAAATTGCCAGCCCATGTTAATCACAAGCTTCTTAAAAAATTCGAAAAAGAGCACAATCATTGATCTTGCTGATGTGTTCATTGTATCAATTCGTTTCTTTGTTGATTCATGGGCTCGTCCAATAAATCTTGAGCGAGCTCCTGCTTTTGCGAATTTTGCTGTTTCATCATCATGTTGGAAACTCTTCCGCAACAACACACTCTGCCAATGAAAGCAAAGACTCGGCAAATGTGAATGAAAAGTATGCTAAAAAACCAATCCATAATATACTAGCAACAAGTAAAAATCGAGTGAACTGAATGGAGTACATGACGAATGATACGTTTGAGCAAATATATTGAAACAGGACCATTCATCATTGTGAAAACTTACTCTAAATTGAAAGAATGAAATGCTAATTAACTCTCGCAATCTCAAGAACATTTTCACGCTATACAATAATAATAATATCAAAATGACCAGATACATGAAAATAATTCCGAACAGCATGCCATACAGGAGGGAGAGAGCTGTGTAATCATTCTTCACTTGAAAAATATACAAGTACCCTAATAATGGAGCAAATATTGTGAGGATTGTGCCAAATAATTGAAGAGCTAGAAGTGGAATACTAATTTTCATGGACATGCCATGATTCTCATTCTTTTTCATTGCATTGATCCAAGTTGAAATTATCGGTATTGCACAAATGAACAAATTTCCCAGGGCAATGAGAAAAAATATATCAGGGACAACGTCTGATATTTCAGAACTATTTCTTCTCAAGAAATCGCAAGTATATGATGTCAGCAAGCATAGAAATGAGAATAGGAGTGTAGAGGCTGCATTGAGCTTGTAATCACACACTATCTGCGCCCATTTGGTGTTGGTAAGGTGTATTTGGTAATAGACATTTTTTGAAGCTCTGATCGAGTGCGTCTTTGATTTAGCCATTGTCCAAACATTACAAGGCCACATGTTTTGAATTTTCAAACTCGTTATATTCCTTCTCTTCAAAATGACATTTTTGATGAATTGTATCAACAGAGGTAGCCAAATCAGCATGGTTATGACGAGAGCCAACGCCATTTCCAATATCAAAAGAACAGCATTAATGATTTCAGAACAGTACAAGGGATACCAAAAATACATGTAACTATCACACCGCGAGGCTGTCTTAATATTAGACATTTCTGCTTTGGTGTCAATTTCAATATCTGTCCCTTGTGAATTGATTGTTGCAGTATATGGTCGAGGGCAGTAGCACATGGAGCTACTTAGCAAATTGCCATAATAATTTTGGATTTGATTCATGAAAGGAAAGCCCAAAGCTATTCGATCCAAATTGCCATAGCTGCATTGAAATGGCAAATTTGCGTTCAAACAAATATCGAGACCATCACTCACAGGATATTGTGAATAGTCTCTGCATGCCCTACACGTCGTATACAGATCAAGAATGTCGGCTGTAAGACCCAGGCTATATTCCTCTAATTCTGGAATCAAACTGAGTAATATTGTTCCAAATTGACTCTGAGAGTATGGGATTGAATGATATTTTGGCTCCTTTCAAGTAGCTCTCCATCCATGAAAACATGATAGAAAGCGATAATTGTTGAGTATACAAAGGTCCTTCGGGAATTAAATCAATATCCTTAACGAGAAGCGACGTCAAGTTGAGGCCATAGTCAAAGATTTTGGAATCATTAGTTGCTTGCTCCAGTTCATTGAGCATGTCCTGAGAAAAACAAAACATCCTGTCACAAATAGAATCATATGGAAAGTCCTCTTGAGGGCAATAAGCTTCAATATTCCCATAGTAGAAAGAAACATCTGCATCATACTGATAATTAATCAAAACAGATTTGCTCCTCTCGTTAATAGTAATTGCTGGGCACGAAAGAGGGCTCGATTGATTGGGAAACTTGAATACCCATTCTGTTTGATTGTACAGGGGCAAATATTCATTCACAATTGCCTCCGTTTGGGAGAAAAGTTTGGAATGATTACTGTTCGATTTGTTGCGATTGCTCCAATATTCATACCATTGAGAGCCATAAATTGAGAAGGGACACACCAATGAAGTGAGAAATGTCGAGCTGCTGGCATCATCGTATTGATCGAGTGGTTGAGGATCTCCATAAGAAGATTTTCGGACTTTCCTACTCCTTATTGCGTGTGGATTCCTTGACAATGATGTTGAAAATAATGAATTCCTATTAAGGGGTGATGACCTCTGTATGGTTGATGATGAGAGAAAGTCTTCACGACTCGGATGGATGAAAGTCAATATGATTAATACAAGGATCAATAGAAAACAACAACAAGAAGCAACAGCTGCAAAAACAATCGGTTGAAAACAGCCTTTCATAATAGTTGAGGATGGCAGCCATTCTTGATTCTTTCGGGAATTGGATGACTCCACCCTACTAGTTTCTACCTCGTTCTTCATTGAGGCGTGATGAAAGGAAATTGTTATTGGGTCGTTTCTGTCCTTCTCTTGTGGCGTAGAGAGAAATGGTGCGTCCATAATGGTACTCACTTCTATCGAGGAGTCCTTACCCGAATGATCAGCAAGAAAACGATCATCATTATGGGGTTTCAACATGACGATACTAATAATTTTTTGAAAATTTGTTGGACTCGCTTCAAAACTATTTTCAACCAGTAGTAATCGAAAAGAAACTGATAAAAACAACTGATCATTCTTCAGATAATTGAGTATTCGTTGAACTCTAACGTGATCTTTTTGGTGACGGAGTGAACTTAATGTATTAACAAAAAAAAATAAAAAAAAATGCAACAACGAAACACAGGTCGATTTGGTGTCAAAACTTCACAAACTTTGAAATACAATTCCAATCTTGGAGATGCGAAAAGTGTGACTCCAGTCTATTTCCGATGGGTGGATGTAGATAAAGATGACGAGGAGAGTTCATCTCGAAAATATGATCATGCTATTCCACAATCGATCAATAAACAACGAAGATGGGAAACATTTGACGAGGAAATCAAAATGGAAGAAAAACAAGAAGATCAACGATCTAACACTAAAGAAAAAGAGGAACGAATGGAGAAAAATCAGGAATTGAAAAAACAGGAAAATAAAAAGAAGAACCAGAAGAGCAAGCATGTGAAACGATTGGAACAAAAAGAAATGGCAAAATTGAAAAAGAAGCTCGGAATTGATGATGAAATGGAAGAGGAAAAAGCCCAAGCGTTGATCAAAGAGGCACTTGAAAAACAAGCTACTAGTGCAACTCAAAATGACAACGGAGAGGAACAAGATGAAGAGGAACAGAAAGAAAAGATTGTTATCAATAGAGAACCTCCAAAATACTTATCCTGGAAAAGCTTGGCCCCAGAAAAGAATGTTGTGTCCGCCTATATTCCCAAAGACCGTGATCAGCTCTATAAAGTCAACCAATTAAGAGGCAGAAATAAGGACTATGATCAAAGTAATGTCAAGTCCAGAACGGAGAAGAAGTCTGATTTCCAAAAGAGCATATTTTTGTAATTGATAGACACTGATTTTGTACTAATATTTTACTCTTTGATCAACAAGTTAAATTATTTACAACAGAAAAATGTGACACAACTTATTTCAGAGATTTTGCAACACATTTAGCCATTAACCAAATCCGTTTCATCTTGTCGATCCACACCGATGCAGCGTACTGTTGTTGATGTGCTTGAATCATTGAAGATACGTCCAGATAGTTTCTCTGGGAAGGAATGGCCATTTTGAGCAAAATCATTCGTGAAGCCATGGCCACTACTGCACCTCCCATAGAGACATCACTGGCAAGTTGAGGCCATGTGGTTATAGTCTTTCCAATTTCAAGGTATGATTTCAGACCTCTTTCAGATGCTTGTGACGGATCCAAGAATTGAGTAATCAACTTTTTTCGTTGAACTACATCAAGATCCATATCGGGTTTCAAATATTCTTGTGAAATTCTTCCGTGCAGAATTGGATAGGACTGATCAAGGTCAAATCTTTCAATGTCCAAGCAACCTCGGTCACTTGCTTCCATCACCACTGGAATTCCAAATTTTTGACAGTGTAATCTTAATTGAACCTTGATGTCAAAACTGTCACACTCATCAATGACAAGGTCTAATTTGTTATTATTGGTTTCATCATCGACTCCAAGAAATTGTGAAATATTTTTCTTATTGATGCCTTGATTGAAGATGACCACCTTAAGAAATGGATCAATCTCTGCAATTTCTCGTTTTGTAATCACTCCCTATTGCATGAGTAATATAAAATACACATGTTACTACTTAAACACAATTACTATTCAACCACTTACCTTCAAAAGGCCCAAGTCGTACACCTTTGCTCTCAATCGATTCATATTGGTCAACTCCAACGTATCAAAATCTGCCAATCTCAATTCTCCACACCCTCTTTCCATGGCCAATGTAAGAGCCACGGCATGTCCAACAGAAAGACCCACAACTCCAATTTTCTTTCGTTTCAACTCATCTTGTTCTTCGAGTGTAATCTTGTGAGCATTACGGATCGTTCTAACTTTGATAAATTCTTCCTCGTCCAACAAGTGACACAAGACATTTCTCCAAGGATAATAAACCCAAACTCCATAATCTTCCATGCATGAAACATGTTGTAATTTCTCTGAAATTTTGCTAGAATAAAGTGCTTCTTGTTGTGAATCATTGGCATGCTCAGAGAACGTTGAATTGATAAACAAAGAAGGATTTTCCATTTTCACCAAATCTTTCAATTGGAGCCGCATGGTATCCACAATATGACAAGTTTGTCCAATTTGAGAGTTCAATAACTGATGAAGTGTCAAGCAGTCCTGTGGTTGAGAAAGTCTGAAAAACATGGGCTCACAACATTGAGTCATGTTGTTCATCCAGGTCAATCTCGAGTTTGTTACAGTGTGAATTGAATCAGCAGATTCGTTACGGCGGTCATGATTGGCCTCTCTGAGGAGATTCAACACTTGTTCTCGAAGCATCATGTATGATGGCACATGCGATGGATCGTGTCTGTGTGGTTGTTTGTCTTGTAATTGTTGCTTCATATGAGTGGTTGTTGTTGTACTTTTTTTCAAATCTTGAAAACAACAAAAGGAGTTAGATCAAGGTCCATTGAACTCAGAGTCTGATTTCCTAAAATATGAAGCTAGGAAGAAAGAATGAAGCGATTATGATCATGTCTCATCGCTTACGCCTCTAGTTTGAAATCGGATCAAAAATCACGACCCTCAACAAATTTTCAACATGTTGATCCTAATGGTGACCTGAAAGTTTTGAGAACTCAAAATCTTGTGTGTCACATCATGAAACGATCCATTGCTATTTTTGGATCCCTGGCATTTTTCAATACAACCATGCGCAACAGAAAATGTGTGAGAAAATTATTGAGTTTTCATCAACACCACTCGTCGATTGAAATACATCATTTCCTTGTAATACAAATAACGAAGAGTTGTAGCATCACATTTCGTTTGGAAATTGAATTCAATTCGATGATGCTGTGCGGGCTTGGTTGTTTGTTGTTGACAAGCTGTAGGATGAGTTTCAACATTCTTTTCATCATGAGTTGAACGAGTTTGATTCACAGCATCAAGATGTAATGAGGATAGGTGCATGTTTTCCACACTCGCATCCTCTTCTTGAGCCAAAAACGGATGGCACAATGCATTGGCAAATGTGATTCGTTTTTCTGGATTCCACTGCAAAAATTCTCTCAGTAAATCAAGAGCTTCTTCTGGAGCGGATGGAAAGATGGCTTTCAAATCCACACCTTCTTCAGAGAATTCATAAAAATGTTGTTCATAAAATTCACGAGCTCCATCTGAGCCCTTAATATCGTTAAGGTCCTTTGGCTTTCCTAAAAGGCATGTGATTAAGTTTAAATGCTCAATGATGCCTTTCATGTCTTGACCACTTTGTTGAACGAGGAAGAGAGGTCTTCGAATAGGTTTAGGACCCAACATGTATAGTAATTCTGCAAAAATACATCCTAGAGACCAAGAATCAACACTACTGGTCTGAGTGTCATATTGTAAAATGACTTCAGGACTTCGGTAATAACGTGTGACCACGTACATGGAATTTGGTGATTGTCCTGGATGGTCGGTTTCACTTGTGCTTAATCCAAAATCAGAAATTCTCACATGAACAAGGTCCTTGCCTTCGTGTTCGTCATTATTCGCTTCACGAGTAGAATGGGTCTGTACCAATACATTGGCAGGTTTCAAATCTCGATGCAACACACCAAAGGATCGCATATATTCCATAGCACTCACTAATTGACGCATTATATTTTTCACAAATTCGATCGAGACACATTGCTTTTTCTTTCCTAGCCGATTTAAATACATTTTCAAATCACCATCTTGCATTAATCCCATCACAATATATAAATCTTGAAGTTCTTTCAAACAGTATGGCACATTTCTTGAATGAGTCGAAATAAAGACATCCACTAGTTCCACAATATTTTCATGATGTCTCAAATGTCTCATAATTTTAATTTCTCTTAACATTCGATAGGGAGCTCCACTTTCGAAAACATTTCTCACTTTCTTCACAGCAACCATTTGATAGGGTGGACTCTGACTTGTTGTTGATGAATTTGTGGAGGAGGATGTAATTGGACGAAATTTATCCCAACACGCAATCACCACTCCATAACCACCTTGTCCAAGAATTTTCACACAACCAGTACTTTCATCTCTGACAGGTTCATATCGGAGTGGAAGAATCATTTCAAATTCAAGAGAGCCATCAGGACTTGTAATTAAATGTGTTGCCACTTGTTGATGATGAAGTGGTTGAGGAAGAATTTGACTTGGCTCTGGAACAGTGAAATCACTGCCAAACGTTGAAGATGAATCATCGGAATTGTTTGAAAATTCATCATCAAAGTCTTGAATCATACTTTCATCATCTTGATTCGTTTTTGAATGATACTGTACATCAGATATATCTTCATCACAATTATTAATGATTTCTTCAATAATTCGGTACATTTCATCTGGAATTTGATCAAATTCAGAAGTCTTGTTGGTTCCTTCCTGAGATGAATTATTATTAGCATTGGTTGTTGTTGCTGGAAGGATGAAAGGATTCGGAGAAGGAGAAGGCTTTGAACAAAACAATAGATTACGAAATGTCATGTTATTTTTTGTGGGTTGTCAATTTACAATTCCAACTATTTCTTGCATTGTTAATTATTTAAAAAAGTTCGTTGTTCATTGAGGTTGTGACTTCCAACGTGTAACATTGCACTTGAGGCCATCTTAGTTCACATAGGACAGTGACGACCAATTTACTTTGTTTCACACTTTGCAAAACCTTAAAATAGCTTGAAATGGTTCAATTCAGTAATGAACAAAATTACTTTTGGTAACAAAAGATTAAAAAAATGTCTTTTGAAACAAGCTCATCACCGTCGACAGATACACAACAACTCCCATCAACAACAACAACAACAACAGTTACTGAACCTTTAGATAAACATGCTTTAAGAAAACTCCGAAAAGAGCAAAAACAACAAGCGAAAAAAGAAAAATTGACTCAACAACAACTCGGAAAGGAAGAACGAAAAGAATTATTTGAAAATCGGACACGAGAGAAGTTTAATAAATTATTGGAAGGATCAAATACAAGTGCCAAGAATGAAAAATCAATTCCGAAATTAAGATCGCTTCACGAGTCGTCATGTTGTGACCCAACTCAATATTATAAAGAAACATTTTGGCAAGATCCATGGTTCGGGTTGCTCCAATATTAATTATTAATTAATTAATTTTTCATAAACCGATTCAAATGTTAAGGAGCTAGCATTCTTGTGACAAATACATGATGAAATGTCGTTGACATTCATACGTTTACTTTCCTAACAATTGTTGTTGTAATTTCAAGTTTTCGTTTTGAATGAGTTGTAAATCAGTAGTGACCTTCTCAATATTGAGAGTATCATTACGTTCTGAAATGGTGGTAATTTGGTTTTCCAAGTCTCTGATCGTGTTGAGAGCTTTTCCATTTTGTTGAACACTCTCAATTAATGCCTCGAACAAACTTCTGATCTCAACAAGGTCCTTATAGAGTTGCTTATATTCTGGATCTTTTTGAGCCTCTTTGAAAATGCTCTCCTCATTTTCTTGGAATGTTCTTGATACCTTAGAAGTCAATTCTGTGACAGCTTGATTCAACTCTCTACTCTGGTTGAGAACTTTGCTAATTTCTTCGTTTTGCTTTTCAATATTCTTCACAACATCCAAAATACGAGTCACGTATGTGGTTCGGTCGGTTTCTTTTGGCATGTCGTCATATTCTTGCTTCTTTTTTGTGATTAGCTCCTCTTTTTGTCTAATGGAGTGAATCAGCTCATTCATTTGATCACGAAGGTCTTTTGAAACGTTGAGTAAATCCTTGTATTCGTTTTTTTGTTCCTTCATCTTCTCTTTAAGTGCTCTATATCGTTCAATCAATGGTTTTCTGTGTTGTTCCCATTCTGTGGCAAGATTTAATAATCGTTGAGCACCCTGTGAGGTTACCGTCTCGAGTTGTTTAATATTCTTTTCCTTGTCTTGCAAAATGACGGCAGTCGTTTTAGCAACAGTGAATTCTTCTTCTAACTTTTTCTTTCGTTGTTTCTCCTCGGAAATGGCCTCCTCAGTCTGTTTCACTTGAGCCATTAGGGATTCCTTGGTGTTGTGAATTTGGTCAATTCTGGTATTAACCTTGTCGAGCATGGCTTGCAGTTCTTCCAATTCTTTCTGTCTCTCTTCCTCTTTTCGCTTTTTTTCTTCCTCGATGCTTGCATCACTCTTATCTTTCGACGCCAAAGGATTTGTACTTAGCAAATTCTTTGTAACATCTGTATCATTCTCGAATAATTTTCTCTTGGCAAATGTTGAAGAGGCATCATTGTTTCTATTATTTTTCAAGCTTTGCAGTAAATCTGAAAGTGATGGCAAATCTCCATCATTATTGGAACCGTCATCTTCAACACCAGTTCTACCTGAGCCACCTCTCAAAACTTCAGAAATTGTCATTTCAATTTTTTGATTCTTTTGTTTAAAGTACTCTTCACGAGTCAAACCTGAATCAATACCCAATTCATTCCATTCATCTTCACGTTGTTTATGAATTAAAATTTCTCTGGCGTTTTCCTCAAAAACTGTTGAAGCTAATTGATCTTTAGCTTCTATTTGTTCGGAAAGATAGGGCCCAAAATTTTTATAGTACAGCAAGGCATGTTTTTCACAGAGATCATCATTGGAATTGCCGCCAACCCGGAATGCTGACTTTAGACTTTCCATTGCTGCTGTGTCTCTAGTGACATCCGAAAAATCTCCTTTATCAAGAGCGTTCAACAAGAACGCATTCATGCTTGACTGAGTGTTAACAGGAGTGCTTTCCCATCGTACTCTTTCATTGTCCCAACTCTTTGTTGCTGAAGTGACGTCAATAGACACCTTCTTTGTACCATTTTGATTTTTCACAGTCCAAGTAGAATTGACAAAGAAGGATAGCACAGAGTTCATGCGAGCCTGTACAGTTTGTCTTTTTGTAGCTTCCTCATTGTTACTGTCCTTTTGTTGCTCTGTAATGAAAGATTGAGCTTGTTCTACGAGCCAACTCAGAATTTGACGTGTTACCATTTCATTTGGATACAAAAATTGATCGAAGGCAATATTTCCTCTGAATCCATATTCCTATAGAGTTGATGATTGTAAAAAATAATGGAGCCATCATGATGAAAATTACATTCCGATAATTGGTGTAAAATTCAAGATTATTGATGTAAAATCAACATTATAAAACAGAACAAAATATATTCTACAAATCATCGTACGATCAACCTACCTTGATGGATTGTGTCAAAGCATTACAAGTTCTAAAACATGTACTGATTTCAGCAGGTAATTCTTCTGGAAAATCCTCCGGCTCTCTTCCATTACCTCTTGAAATTGCTCTCAAGCAAATCACAGTAGCCCTATACAATAAAAATTTATCTACATCCAATAAGTCATTCACGGCCTCATCCACCTCGCATCCGAGCTGCTTGAGCTGTGTGAGGATGATTGAATCGGCAGCTTTGCGAGCACTCATATTTTTTTTAAAGAAAATATTGAAAAAATCTTTTTGTGTCCTTGATGAGAAATTTAATGACTCGACGTACACTGACGACATACAGAGGCCATGATATCATGATGATATTATTATGTGCTCATTTTGTGTTATGTTTTAATTGTACTTGTCTATTTATTACTGCCAATTGATGATGGAAAATTACAATTCTAATTCCGAGTGGATCTGGGTCAGGATTCGTTGACTCTTTTTGCCAATCTTATTGAATGACATTTCCTTTCTTAATTCTCAAGTAAGCAAAGGAGGCCCCTACTGGTGTGTAATTAATTGTTGGAGTGTCATCGGAGGGTTTTGGTAAGTATAACCATTCAAAGAGTTCTTTAAATACAAATTATCACATGGCTGAACAGCTGGAATAAGAGGCAACTGACCTTGAATGAAGAAGTGGCATTGTTACAAAAGAGTTGTGTTCGCAAATGACCCTTTGGTAATTTAATTAACCAGGGTCAAAGGAGGATATCCAATCTATTTAAATTTCCTCATTCAATTCAACAAGATTAATTTGTTTACGAGTTGGGAATTCTTGTGTCTAAAAATTGACAGCAAATTTGCAGTTCCAAACAAATAAATTAAAAAAATAATGCTCGACAACAGCTATCGTGTCGTGGATACTAGTCATCAAGAAGGTGTCAATGACAACAACCAATCAACGCAACAAGAATCCATCCTTTCTCAATATAAACAAAATGGATTTACTCGACGAAGACATTTATTATTTAAAGTAGAAGGCTTTGATTCCGAACTCTATAACGGAAATGCAAAATTGAAAACAGCATTGGGTGAGTGTTCTGATCATTTGGAATTTATTGTAATAGACAAAATGATGTCCATCATCAATTTTTTAAAGAAAATCAATTTGAAATTAATATTTGTCGATTGAAAATTGCTTTTCGACATAAAAAACCTTTGAATTTTGCTGCAGTTGAATTAGAGGAGGAGATTCTATCTAGTGATGAAAATGGTATTAATAGCTATACCAACAGCACAGAGAGTTATGTTCGAGAATGTATTCAAAAATTAGATGGACAATTTCTCAATGGAAATGTATTGCATTGTGATTTATTGACAGATCAAGGTAAGTACTTGCTAGTATTGTAGCATGCGTATATCTATTTTGATCATGGTCGTTTTCATGTCTATTCATTTGATATTTTTCAAGAATTGACCTATTTTATGAAAAAGAAAAAGGATGGCGATTCGGATCCATTCATTCCATATGAAATATTCGATTCGTTGGAACACGTATTCATTGTTGATTTTGAGGTAAGTGAAATATTCAAGTGACACTTGTCGATGGAAATACCATTCTCGACTCAACAGATGGCGGTGTTGGGAAAATATCATAAAATTCCATGTGAAGTTGCCATTGCAAAATTTTGTTTGAAACAACTCAAAATTGTAGAACATTTCCACTCGTTTATATGCCCTACATACATTCCTCCATGCGATTTCCAAACCATTGCATATACTTCTCAAAATATTCATGGAATTCCATTGCATTTCCCTTCGTATCAGGAACTCCGAATTTTTGACGACCTTTCCAAAAATTATGACCTTTTATTGGAACGAATTTTCAAATTCTTGGGATGTGAGAAGAGCCAAAACACCAATCATGACGATACGAAGCATTTCATTGACTTGTCAAAAGTGCTCCTCATTGCCCATGCCCCGCACGCTGAAAATTGTTCCTTTCATTTTCTCACTCAGGAAAGTACAAGTTATCAACAATTGAAATTTCCTCAAGTATATGACATTAAGGATTTTGTCACGAGTTATGAGAAGGGAAATGTTTATTTTGAATCCAGCCATCCATCCTCAACGTTTGAAGTCGCCTCATCGACTGCAAAAGCCCTCTCTTCGAAAAAATTGAATGATCTATTGAAACAGCTCAGTTCCGAAGCGTGTGACAAGAAGTGTCATTTCCATTTAAAATCTCTCAACACATTTCACTGTGCATTGTCTGATGTGTTTGGAATAGCTCGTGCTCTTTCCTGTACCATGACGGATGAATATAAGAATGTGGAATTCATTTCACAAACGAGCGACATGGCCAATGATAGAAACATTGCTGTCACCCCAAACGAGTGTGTGAATAGTTCTTCTGATTCTACTCAAACTGTCAAGTTTGTCCCAAAACAAAAGGAAATCATTGATCCGTTACTGTACAAGCAAATTGAGGATGAATGGACAGGAGGAGAAACCATGGAATATTTCTACAAGTGACGCTGTCAAAGTGGCGAATTTTCCTGTTCAAAAAGATGTATTCAGCAATTCTTGAATAGATATTGATGTTCGAACAATTTTCTGACCTTTGAATGTTGTACCTTCATGAAGCATGGTAGCGGATGATGAGGTTTGATTTGTTACATTTACAGAAGAAGAGGATGTAGCATGTGAGGATTCAGATGATGGTGTTGTTGTTGTGTGAACAATATGAGAGTTCTCTTCACTACTGTTACTGCATGCACTGTTACACTCCATGCATGAGGAAGAATGTTGTTGTGGACCTGCATAATGATGGTCATTACTAATTTTCATCATGGGTTGTTGAACTTGAATCCAATGATCACTTGGACGATGTTTCTTCTTTTGAATTTTACGTGTAGACATTGGTGGAACATGTACACTCGAGGACGATTCACCATGGCATGAATGCTGTTGTACAGCATGTGAAGTCATGGTGGTCGTTGTTGTTGTTTTTGAATTTGACTTTTTTCTTTTCAAAGTATTGACCATGTATGGTGAAGCATGAATACCACCACTACCGCATGCAGCGTTGAAATAGTGAGACATGTCCGTCGATCCATCGAAGGGATTCATAGGTTGCATGGATTGGATCTCTGTTCGATACGAAATCATGGTCATCTTCTGTTGCTTCTTCCTACTGCTTCTTTTCATTCCATCCACGGTTGTTGTAGTTGGAGAATTAGTGCTAGTTCTATGATTTGGAATGAACGAAATGATGCTTAATTTCATATTGAGAGCGACCAAGCGAGAGTATACGAGGTGTTTTTTTTGATGTACAACAATTTGGGTCACCTTCGACTGTATTGGATAAGAATGGAATGAAGATTGTTGAAAAAAGCCCTTCACAGAAGAAACGGCGATGGTATTTATGAACATTTTTGGAAAAGGTGCTTGTTTGTTTGGCGTAAGAATTGCAAAGAATCCTGTGAGGTCCCTGTAGATCGAATGGCGCTTTTGGAAATGAGCTGATGTGTCCTTAAATGAAAACGTGTCAACAACGAAATGACAGATGCATTTGCATCCTCTCAAGAATAATAATTCAATGGACCTTTTTTTATTGGAACTGCAGTAGTGTTTGAGGTATTATTCAGCTGACTAATTCAACAATTCTTGAATGGAAATTGATGTCCTTCCCTTCCTTGTTGGAACATTGGAATGATGCACCATTGTAGAATGTGTTAAAGTTACCAAGTGGTGAGGTGAAGAGCACGCTTCGGTTCTTGGCTGCACGTTCAAAACCTCCTTATTGTTGTTGATGTGAATGGTTTGAGGGGTAAATGGCTCAAATTTGTTGGGCGTGACCATATTTGTACTTGTTGAGACTAGATTTGGAAAAGGTTCGGTTGTGGTGTGAAAACCAGCACAGTTTGGGTGGTTGTTGTTGTATGGTTGCATGGGTGCATGTGGTTGTTGTTGTTGATGTTCCAAGCAAGCGGAAGACATGGCATGATGATTCATTGAGGAGGAGAACCACAAGGCAGTCGAAGAAATGGCTCTCTTACATTTTGATTTCGATTTACGTAATAATTGAACTGGTTTTTGAATGCCTTTTCTGAGCATCATTTCTGATTGCATGCCATTGTTGGATTCGGTGTTCATTTTCTCTGTTGTCACTCTGTTCGATGGAATATTTGCTGATGACGAAGATAATAATTGATCATGATTTTTGGACACTCGAACTTTGAAAGGTCTTTTCAAATTGGTAAAGAGATGAGAAAGATCACTGGAACCATCGAACATGGACTTGTTGAGACTTGGAGTTTGTGGACGGTATGTGAAATCGGTCAAGTAGGTCACCATGGTGGGACGAGAAGAGTTGTGGTGCTTCTTAGCTGCTTGGCTGCAAGATTGGAGAGGAGAAGACGATGCAGCGTCAGTTGAGGACGAGTCCATGATGGTGGAGTTTGGAACAAAGTTAACAATGCTGAGTTTGAGCATTTTATAATGAATCTGATTTACGAAATCGATATTTGACAAGTGAAAGAATGGCAAACTTGTCTGACCCAAAACATCTCTGTGGCTTTTCGTGCATCGTTTTTGTATGCTTCATGTACATAAACGTTGCGTATGAATGGAAAAATAATTTTTCTATATTGAATTTCATTTCCGTTATCATTAATCATTTCTAAATTCGGAAAAGGATTTTTTGACCTAGAGCATTTCGATATGGCGTTAAATTTTTACTTTTTTGTATAATAATGCATGCTGGTTTGTCAACACACTGATCATGGTTCCAAGTTTATAAGAGAGCATTCTTGCATACAGATGATCACTGAATGTTCATCTTTCTCTTCGAATCTATCGTTACTTTTGAAATGTTTTGTTGTGTCATTGAACTGAACGAATTTGTAGCTTGAATGAAAATGATATTAAGGGCTGTCCCAACTTCTGTACAAGATATTTGTGTCAAAGTTTGGAAAGAACTCTATTTGTTCACTCAAATCTCACAACTTTTATCTTTAAAGCCTTGCATAGCGCTGACAGGTCCTATACTGCATAACATCAAGAGAATTCTCTCTCTCTAATATTTGCATATTTTCTTTCCTCACAGTCTTCAACAACTAGTCTTCATGCCTTAATTTTCAAGACACCATAGTTCAGTGATTTCATGACAGAGCACCAACGCAACAATAGATGTCCTGAAAACGAACGAGAAAAAATGATTAGATGATGATGAATGAAATTTCACCTCCGATTCTTTGAAAGAAAAAATGATTGGAATGGTTCAAAGACTATGGTTTCATTCCAAAGTGTTCTTCAACCGACATTTGGTAGGATCACTTGCGTATTATATTGCTCGGTTCAAAAGTCCCAATGCCTATCACTTCAAACAATATTTCATTCCGAATCGTTATGATCATGAACAAACAGCACAACGAGTTCTAGTATATTTTCCACGATCATCATCTCCTAACACCAATAATCATTCATCAAATATCTACATTAATATTCACCCAGGTGGTTTTGTTTCTGGATATCCGGAAGACTGCTCTGAATTTTGTGATTTAGTCGCTCAGGAACTGAATTGTATTGTGGTAGCACCTCAATATGGATTAGCTCCAGAATATCCTTTCCCAAAGGGCTTGTATGATTGTTTGAACGCTGTAGAATGGAGTTTACAAGAATTTGGGAATGAACAAAATCCCAGACTTACCAAGTTGGCAGTAGGTGGATTTAGTGCCGGAGGTAATTTAGCGTTTGGTCTTGCTCAATTAATAGTATCTAAGAACATACCTTTGGAGTGTTTAATTTCCTTCTACCCACCTATGAATTTCACATCTCAGTCAAAAAGTACATTTCAAACAACGAATCCACTCAAAAGATGTGTCTATTATGAAGCTTATTTGCAAGCTATTATTGAACGAGTGGAGTGTGAAATGTTGTCACAGGAGGAAATTGAAAAATTACTACAAGATCCATTACTTTCTCCTTCCTATGCTAGTATTGAGATGCTTCCTAGATCTGTCATGCTAATTGCAGCACAATACGACCCAAATATTGCAGATATGGAACAATTCATGAACACTATGCGAATTAGATATGAAGAGTTGGAGAATAATAGACTCAATCATACACAAAATTCAAGGCCATACAGATTCTATGGAGAAGTTTATGAGAGGGTATTTCATGGCTGGAATTTCATTCCAGAATTTCTCTTAAGAAAAGATGGCACACAAAAGAAATGGCATGCCTATCAACAAGCGTTGGATGAGCTTGAGAGAGTATTTAAAATTTAATAGTGTTAAGTATTGGCGTTTGTCAACTTGGAAATTTCTCAAAATCCAAACTCGAAGTATGTGGAGTAGAATTGTGGTGATTATTTCAGCAAGATCACTGTTTGTCTCATCCTTTTAATGTCTTCGTTTTGATGGATTTATGAGAATAATTGAGGTAGAATAATTATTTAAGAAATAATTGAGGTAGAATTAGTATTAATTATTTTTGTCGAGTTGGACGAACAGTTTGTACAATTCATGTTACGTTAAGGAGATTAATTTTCGAATATCACTTTCAAATATTGGCTTATCTGTAATCCGTTTCATGGATAGTTTTAAGTCTTTTTAAAGCTTGTTCCATGGTCGGTCTTTTTTCAGGTAACAAATCCTGACATTGCATTCCCAGAGCATTCACAGGGTGGTTGGTATTGGTAGGAGAAACTGTATCCCCATTCCAAACTCTCATAATAATTTCTCCAAATTTAAAGATGTCTACACTTTTTCCATAAGTGTTTCCTGCATTCATTTCAGGAGGAAAAGGACTAGTCCCAAGAAAGGATCCGCTTGCAAAAGAGAGAGCTTTGGAAAATCCAAAATCACAAAGTCTCACAACAGAATTATTGTCTATTAGAAGGTTGTTCAGTTTGACATCACGGTGAAGAATTTCATGGTTGTGACAATGGAGAATTGCTTCGCCAATTTGAATCAAAATTTCAAGTTTTGTCTTTTTGTCCAATAACAAATTCTTTTTTAAATAAACATCCAGATTTTCTCCACCGTATTCCATAATGATCAGCACAGAATGAATGTCTTCCTGTTTATGACACAACCGATTCCAATTCACTTTCGTCTCTTCTCCGTCCAATATCAATCCAGGTTGGCTAAATAGTAGAATACCTTTCATTTTCACAATGTTGTTGTGGTTCAAAGTCATTAAATTATATATCTCATGAAAAACGTTATCGTTAAGTTTCTCTTTTTCAATGTGTTTGACTGCCACAGATTCTTTTCCAATGGTTGCATGATAAACATTTCCAAAACTGCCTCCTCCGACATGTCTGATGATTTTGAGATAAGAACCGTCAATTCTCTGTTCTTTAAAATTATAATAAGATATCAAATTCACAACATTTCCCACATGCATCATGAAAGCTAGACTATTCATTTGGCCATCGACATGTTTTTCTGATAAGGAGCTAGCATGTAGAATTTTTGTTTTACATTTTTCTTGAACGAGTTGTTTCTCTTCGTTCGCCTTTGCTGTGACTGCTGCTTGAAAGTTTTTGATCAACGACTCGATGACACTAGGAACTTGACTCCAATCCATGTTCTCAATATGATCTTGCGAAATGTGTTTGATGTTGTCACTTGATAAGGTACGCTGTATAAACTTGGCCGCCAAATATCTTACGGTGGCAGTTAATTTCATGATGTAATTGACAGCAGACCATGTAAATGAGTGTTCCTTATCTTGTTTAAGGGTCAAATTTGTATCGAATTTGAAGTATTGGCCTACCAATGTGTAGGTATTGTTGATGAATGGAAGTGTGATGTGTTGAACTTCATTCAATATTTCATACCAAGTTTGTTTGTCAATATATCGATAAATTTCTTGGAGATATTCAGCACCAATGGTAGACTTTTTGATTTTCTTGCTTTCTCTGTCCAGCAATTTGCTTGTAGAAATGGTGGCTGTGAAAGTTTCTCCATCAAGCTCTAACAATTTTTCAAAGTTTGTTTTGACTTTGTTCTTAATCATGTCCTTCACTTCAACGGATTCCATATGGCTTTTACAATAAACGATTTGATCCTGTACCATTTGGTCAAATTTTTGAGTAAATTGCAAATAGTCATGTTCAGTCTTTTCAGTGGTTGCACTTCCATTCATGACATCAATGTCTCGCAATAAACTTTTCTTTCTACTCTCTGCAAATTGCTCCAATGATTTCAATGCAAAGATTGCAGCCTGCCTGAATATATCCATGTACACTCTGTGTGTTATAGAATCATCGATACATGAATGAAAGTAAATCCTTGATTTCAGTTGTTGTAAATAATGTGGACATGACTCGTGGAAGTACGTTTCTAATTTTGCTTCCACTTCATTTCTCACCTCTTGCAGATCCTTGAGACCATCGGCTTGATTGACAATTAAAAAAGGTTCATGTTCTCGAATGGATTCAAGAAACACCTTGTCTTTGGATCCAATAGTATCCCGAGAAACCACATAAAGGATAATCTTACGAGCCGATGATGGAAGTGGTCCATGATTGATAAAACGATCAAATTTGTCTCTCGTACAAGAATCACATTCATTTCCACAACAATCTACCAACATCATTCCTTTTCTTAAGAGAGAGCTAAAGCTTTTGGGACATGTAATAGTTACTAAGGAAACCGACTCCGAGTCCAACCTTTCAAGGTAACTCTTAATCTTATGAACCTCACGGAACGAATAAACAGCACCCACTGGATAATATTGATCGTCATTATTTTGAAAGGCCTCCATATAAAACAATTCCTGATCTCGACCTCGTGCACCCGATGATGATGACGATGGATGAGAATTTCCTACGGCATGAAGAGGAGACTCATGATGGCTCTTGTAGAGGATGAAATATTTTTGAACTTCTCCCGGAACAGAGATTTGAAAAAATTTACTGGAGAAACTCTCGTCCTCGTCTTGATCATCGCAGCTGCTGTCGTTGGAGTCTTCTTCATCCTCAATTTCAACGTCGTCGGAAAGGTTGTATGCGGTTGGACGAATATTAAATTCATTCATGAGATGAGCACACAGGGTACTTTTTCCGACATGGTTCTTTCCAGCCACAATAATTACTGGCATGTCATATTTGAGATTGGGGTCTTCTTGTTTGCAAGAGGTAAAGAGAGGATGAACCAATGACTCGAAGAGAGGGTTCAGCAGTTCGTCCATGATGGCTGTTTTTTGATTTTGTCAAAATTATGTATAATTATTTATTATTATTATTATTGTATTCACGTGATTGAGAATGAAAAAAGGAGAAGGGAAAACTAAATTGAAGCTATGAGAACCTGTCTAACGTCAGTCATGTCACTGCATAAGCAAACAGAATTCCACAAATGGTCTTCGAATTTCATCATTTTGGGTCCAGATTTGACTCATGTATTTGACAACCACAACAAAAAATAATTCTCTCTTGTACCTGTACCAACAACAGTCATGATCTCCTCTCAACCGTTTGAAGAAGCTGAAGAAGAATCTAATTCATCTCTTCTAGCGAGCTCTGTGAAAGGAAGAAATTCATTATCTAATCTTGAATCCATTGTGAACATTAAACAATCTGGATACGAACAACTCACCCAATTTGAAAACAGAAAGGCAGAATTAGAAGCCAACATCTACTTGAGAAACGACCTCTCAAAACAACCATCTTATGAAAAAGGTTTGACTTTAATGGTAGTGGGATCAAAGAAAGCTGGAAAAAGCTCTCTATCAAATACCTTGATCGAATGTGATTTATTCCCGTCACAAGATGCTGCATGTACTTTCCATATGAATATTTTGAAGTATGGAGAAAAATATTCTCTCACAAAGGTTGATTCAGATCTTGTTACCACAGCTGCCTCACCAATTATCACCGAAACGATCGAAGACCTTAGCCAATTGTTGTTTGATTCACTTCCAAAAATGAAGGATAGAGATAAGGCAACGCCTTTTGTTTTTATGCTGACAGCACCAATTCCAATATTGAAAGATCTTAATTTAACAATTATTGACACGCCTGGTTTAAATGAAATGAAGCATCTCGATCAGACTGTTTGTAAGATTCTTCCTACAGTGGATCTTCTTATTTATGTCCTCCATTCTCAACGTGCAATTAAAAACGATGACCATAGATTCCTTGACATGCTGAGAACTGGCGAAGATGGTACAATGGACCCTGATCGTTTTTTGTTGGACAGTGATAAGCTTTTACTTCTAGTGACACAAATTGATACGATTCCTCATGTTGCTATTTCCAAAAAAAACCCTCACAAAGCCACTCCCACAAAGCAGTTCAAGAAATGTCAAGATATTTATAAGCAAAATTTATCAATTTATTCCAAACACCTCTATTTTGTCACAAGTAAGATTCAACAAGAGAAACGTGCTCATGGACGTACTTGTAAATATTGGAAGATATTTACTGATGGCGTGGAACGTTTAATTGTATCAAATATGACCAAAGATTTAATTCAAGTTTTGAAACAAATGAGCGAGTCACTTGAAGATATGCTACAAATATTTGAACTTGTTTCAAGAGACAAAAATTTTCTTGTAGAGGAGATTGTAGAAACACTTTCTTTGGTCTTGAATGACAATCGCATTGAATTCCTTGCATCTCGTTTGTCTGAAGAAATTCAAAAAGAACAGAATTCAATTGTTGACAAAGTATATTCTGCTCTCACATCATGCGAAATTGATATCACGAACAGAAATATGTCTGATTCTGTTAAAGAGGTCATTAAGGACCAAGTTGTACAGGAAGTGAAAAAGAGTATTATGTTGCTGATCCGTAATGTCATGAAAGATCTTTTAGATAAGGATAATATTGTCGATCATAATTTTGATATAACATCAATACTTTCAAAGGTATTTCATTGCAAGTTAGATTTATCATTATTCAAGCTCATTGGTGATCCAGTTATCACCTTATTGTCATCGGTTCTTGAAAATATATCAAGGGAAGAAGTGAGTAGAGAGAATCATTTGCTTCAGACTCAGGATATTAAAGGACTTACTAACTACATTCTGGAAAATTTTGACAAAAAAGGGACAGCTGCCAAACTTTTGCAATATTTAGGCGAAAAATTTTTTATTATGAATGAAGAACGTAACAAAAGAAAGGAAGATATTTTTCGAAAATTGACAGCGAAAGACTTTACACTCAACGAAGCGTATTCTTTTAAGGAAACTGTTGTAAAGCTGTGGATCGATATTCAAAACGCAATTCAACAGACACAAATGATCCTTAACTCAGATGTAAAGCGTGATTCAGATGTATTTGAAATTACGTTCAAAGATTCCTTGGATTCGTTTCACTTTTGTAGCGCGCTTATCGACGACAATTCTTTTGGAATAATTGAAATGAAAGTAGATCAGGCACATCTTTTGGTAAGATTCAATAAGGAGCAATTAGTGTCATTCCAGACTGTGAAAAAAGCTGCTGTTAATAAGAGTGTCCACGATCGAAAATGTATTTGTAAGCAGTTGGCTAAATTGTTCTCCAAGTTGGATAATCATCACCTGTGTATAAGAGACTCAGTGAAGCTTGATGATTTTTATCTCAATTCAGACAACAAATTGAAAGTTTTCATTATTGATATTGTAGACCTTGCAAACGCTCCTTTTTCTCACGAAGCCATCACTAAGAACAACAAATCAGTACTGGATAAACTTTTTAGATCGTTGATGAACGATAGTGAGCGAGTGATCATGGAGCAAGAATTTAGTTTCCAGTACATTTGGTCACACAAGTAACTATGAGAAAACCTCAATAAACTGCAACTGTTCTCTTGGCAAAAAAAATTGAACCCAAAATTTATTATTCACCTTAGGAAACCGGATCATGGTTGCGATCCTCTCTTGTCACAGCATTACATTGGTAGTGGTTTCACATTAGCGTCGTAAGACTCCCACCTGCCCTTTGTAGGCTTATGATAGATACCCTCCAACCGGTGTCGTAGGTTCGTTAATGAGATCTATGATGTAGGGTGGAGTTATTGCCCTGCCGTATTTCAGTGAATAGCACGGACCACCCCCAGAATTCCCATAACAGGTTCATCTCAACACTGATTTCATAGAGTAGGCACGCAAATCCCTAAGCTATATAGATTCAAATCACAGGTCCCATAGACCTTCGTTGAATCTATAAACATCTCCGAATCTTAAATGTGTATCATGACGCTGCTAGTTCATTCAGGCTCCCCGGCGATTGCTCATTACTCGCCACCCCCACCATAGCCCGTACATCGTCGATACCGAGAATCTACCTTTACCCCGCAGGAAGGTTGTCGAGCCTATGACCACCATCATTGATGGTTTCTTTAATAGCATCTCGACTCGATTCATTTGCAAGACAGTTGCCGGCTTGCCATAATATCGATCACCCTGTCTACATTGTGCAACTTGGCTTTGTCAAAAATTGTAACAACACATTGTATTCTTGGAATACAACACGTTCAAGTGCTCCCGTAGGAGACTTGGGTATCTCTCGCAGGCACCTCGAGATAAGGCGTAGAAACCAACTTTCGTCAGCCACCACAGGACCAGTTACGGCATTTTTTTGAAAGCGTCTTGGCAAAAAAAATGCTTCAAGACAAAAGTTGTCTCGCAACACCAACAGTTTTTGAAGCAAACTCGTCATCAGAGCCAACACTGAGTATGCTGGAAGAAGCCAAAATTCAGCTCATCCGTATGGCAATGAAGAACTTGAATACAAAACAAGAAGTGAATGATATTAGGACTTGTCCGTTTTGTTTGCAACCAATTATGTTAGACGAGAAATTAAAAATTGGTTGGTGAACCAAACAAAAGAAAATTAGATTCTCTAAGTGAAGAAGAAGAAGGAAATTCATTCATGAACAATGAAAATATCACCAAAAAGAAAAAACCATCCTCAAATTTAATGATGAAAGACAATATGCTTGAAACACAGCCAGCCAGATTGGATCATGTGCTTGGTGATGATATGTTGTATCATATTCTGACATTTCTCGATCAGAGTTTTCTCATTCACACCTTCATGAGAGTTTCAAAATATTGGTATGAAAAAGTACTTTTGATTCCCATGTCTTTATCACTGCACTGTCGCATCAATGAAATTCTTTCAAAACTACAAACCATTGCAAACAATCGATACACGCTCAACTTTAGAGAACTCTCTTTTATAGGCACATTAAAAGACGAAAGTGCAGACATCATTCGAGTAATTTCAAGGAGTAACAAATTTAACAATATCAAGTCGTTATACCTAAAAAACTTTATTTTTGGCAAAGAAGAAATTTCTGAAATTGCTTCAGGATATTGCAAGTCATTGACGACATTACATATCAATAGTTGGTTCAATACAAAAAATATTGATGCAAGTTTTGCCACCATCATTGCGAATAGTGACAACATGAAAGAATTACGAACGCTACGCTTACTGACTGATTTTGGAGATGACATTATACGAGAGCTTTGTAACAGTGACAAAATCAAAAATCTCAAGCATTTAGATTTAAATGGATCTAAAGTGAGCAGTAACGGTATAATAATGCTTAGCAATGGCGTTTCAATGAGTAATTTAACAGTGTTAAAGCTGATAGATATCATGTTTGGTGAAGAAGGTTTGTCAGCGTTTGTAAACAGTACCGTTTTACATAATCTTCAAAACTTGAATCTCTTACTCTGTAGTATTGGAACGACTGGAGCTCGATTGCTTTCTAACAGTCCTCATTTAACACAGATTACTACATTAGCTCTTGAATCTAACAGCATTGCGGATGAGGGTGTTTTAGCTCTTTGTGAAAGTGCATGTATGAGAAATGTTACAGATTTGGATTTGTCGGACAATGATGTCACTGAAAAAGCTGTCTCGTATTTGACCAGCAACACTTCAAGCATGAAGTGTCTAACAAGATTGAATCTTGACTGGAATAGTATCGAAGTTCAAGGAGCAAAATTGATCGCAACAAGTCAAACCATGCAATATTTAAAGAATATTTCCATGTGTGGCTGTGGTATTGGTGATGAAGGAATTCACGCCATTTGTACGAGTGATTATATGAAAAATTTGACAAGCCTCAATCTTGACGAAAACAACATTTCCACAACAGGGATTGCATATTTGGTCTCGAGCACTTTTCGTAGCTGTTTGCAACACCTGTCATTAGAATGCAATAGCATTGGAGTTGAAGGAGCACGATTACTTACCACATCATCCCTAAAGCTAAAGTCTCTAATTTTAACAAGCTGTGACATTGAGAGTAATGGAATTTTATTGATTGCCAACTGTCCCACTTTTCAACTGACCGAGTTATCGATTTGTTGCAATGGCATTACTGATGAGGGAATGTATGCCATCTGTAACAGTCCCTATTTGAGAAAACTGACCAAGCTGTCAGTATATGACCGAGTCATTACCATGACATCATGCTTCTTGGTACAAATATGAAACATTTGACAACCTTGGCTGCTGAGAAGATGTCAGATGATCGACTGGAAACTACGCTTTCGAAAATTCTTCCTAATTGTGTTCACGAGAACTAGCGCAGTCACATGCACATCAAGCTCCAAATGTCGATAATGATGACGGATCTATAAATTCTTCAAACTTTATACAACTGTTAGGTTGCAGAATGGTCCTTCCTCTCAAATCTTTAGACGTAAAATATATATAAATACATCATATGATTAATCTTGAAGTACTAGTTTGTAAATGTGTTCGAGTACGTCTTCGGTATGTTGACACAATTCTTGTTGCATGGAGGGTGTTACATTCGAAGAACCAACAAACAATACAGATTGGATGGATGGATGAATAGTCGATCCCATGGCTTTTCGTTCAATTTCATAAAATAGCTCTTTCAAATCGTCAACCTTGTTGTCATTGTGTTGTGAATATACCTTTCTTGTCCCTTCAGGAGTGAGTGCCTCCAGAACAGCGTTGGGAAATTTAGACCAATGAGCCGTGGACACAATTAACATGGGAATTTGCTGACAATTGTCATTTGACAGTTTGTGGTTAAACAAATCTCCAACATACTTGGCCACTGCTGTGTGAGTATCCAAAAGAATTCCACTCTGTTTCCATGTCGCTGCTATCGTCTCGGCCACTTGTTTCTGTGTAGCAAAAGCAGCCACAAATTTCTCTTTCAATAATTCAAAAATTTCACTCGACACTTGAAAATAATGTTCACTCTCCAATTGATTCATGTAACGTGATACCAATGCTGTTGAACGATCATTTTCAAAACTCAACATGTTGTACAACAATCGTTCAATATTACTCGATTTCAAAATATCAATCGAAGGAGAAGTTGTTTTCTGCAATTCGCGTCCTCTCAAATCATAAACACCTGTATTGAAAAATTGAGTCAAGACACAATTTTCATTCGAAGCACAAATAAATTTCCTCACAAAAATCAAACCCATTTTCCATGCATAGACGGCGCTTAATAAATTTCCAAAATTTCCTGTTGGAACGACCATGTCAATTTCGTCACCTAATTGAATCATTCCCCTCTTGACTAATTGTAAATAGGAATAGACATGGTACACAATTTGAGGCATGATTCGTGCCCAATTCATGGAATTTGCACTTGTCAAGGTCGCTCCATGTTTTTCTTTCAATTGGTGTTGAAATTGAAAATTTGAGAAAATTTCCTTCACCATTCGTTGACACTTGTTAAAATCTCCATTCACTCCCAAAACCCTGACATTGTTTGCATGATGAGCTTGTAACATTTGCAATTCTTGAAGTGGACTCACTCCTCCCTTTGGATACAAAACAATGATGGAAATGTTTTTTTCATGTTTGTATCCTTCAATGGCACTCGAACCAGTATCTCCACTTGTTGCTGTTAAAATTATAGTTTTTTCTGTTGATTCAGTCTTGTTCGTGATTGGTTGTTCATGATGATGAGAATGGAGAATGGATGGATGTGATACTTTGTGTGAAGTTAATACAGGTTGAGAAAATTCTTCATGTAAATGCTTCTTGGCTTGTGTGAATAATTTTGGAACCAATTGTAAAGCTAAATCTTTGAACGATGCCGTAGGTCCATGAAATAATTCCACTAAAAATTGATTAGAATATTCACGACATGCATTTGACATGACAGATGTGTCTTGATGGATGACAGATTTTGGTAATCGAGTCAATTCGACAATTTCTTCAGAATGAAATTTGGAATTACCACTTCCATACGCTTCATGAACGAGTTGTTTCAATTCTTGAGGTGTGATCCCACTCATTGGAAATTTTTCTAATACTCTCACTGCTACTTGTTCATAATTTGTGAAATCTTTCATGACATGTAATTCATTGAGAGTGAATGTGGGAAATGTTTTTGGAACATATAAACCACCATCAGTGGCAAGTCCTCTGGTAATCACTTCACACAATGATTTTCCAGTGTTTTGAAGTTTTCCTTCTCCTCTCGTACTTGTATATTCTTGTTCGCCATTTTCGTTTCGATAAAAATTGAAAGCTTGGATAATTCGTGAGACGACTTGATCGACAGATTCTGCACAGCCATTCATGGTCGAACATGTCACACGTACATCATAATATTGTTCGTAAAATGTTTTTCGATATTCCAATAAATCGGCAAGTGTTTGACCAGGTTTCATTCCAACAATTCGATCGACTTTCATTTCATGCAATCGATGTTCGATAATTGTTGAAGGAACGTCTAAATAGATTACGACTCCTTGTCTGCGAATGTTTTCGATTGCAGGTTGATAGAGAGGAACACTTCCGCTTAATGAAATAATTGTGGGATTTTCATTTTCCATTCGTAAATTTTCACAAGCTTTTCCTTCAGCTTTAATAAATCCTTCTTCACCTTCGAGAGCGAGTTTTTGAGAGACTGGCATTTGCCACACAACTTCGAGCAAGTCGTCGTCAATATCGAAAACTTTCATTCCTAAAATATTTCCTAATTTTTTGCTATCGATTTTGTTTGTGAAACAAGTGAAAAGTTAAATATGATTAATAGGTGTTATGAATTTGGAAAAATCCGAGGTATGAAATACATGCCTTGTAGTTGTTTTTCCTAATTTTAAAAAATTAATTGTGTTGTTGGCAGAGAGGAAAGCGTTTTATGTTTAAAAAGTCATCCATGAATGAAATTTGTTATTGTCGGAATACAATTTGTCCATTGAGTTTGAAACAGAAAATCTCTGGTACCATATGAATCCTTACCTGCTCCAGGAGGTCCCATTAACACTAGGTGCTTTTTGTTAACATTTCCAATCATGAGTGGCTTCAAATTGTTCTCAGCGATGACTTGCATTTTTTTTAATTGTTTTTGGAATTACATTGAAAAACAATGAATACAAGATCTTTCAAGATATTTCAATTGTTTTTGGTGTTTTTATTATTTTTTGTCTGTAAATGATAAAAACCTAGGGCTTTGTTGTTGCACAATGTATGATACGTGTGTCACAAGATTGTCACCAATTCATCTCCTCCTTATTCCTTCTTTTCAATTCTGTAGTATTTTCTTGAAGAGGTAGCACTTGATTTGCAATTAATCTCATCAAACATGTTAGGACCAAATCTCACTCTGTATTTTCTTCTTCGATCGGTCGTATTAGGTGGAGGAGGGGGTAAATTGGCGTTCGACGTTGTCGTAGTCATCATGATATTCTCCTGAATCATGGGCATGGAAAATGAGACATATTCTGCAGCGCCACTGGCGAGAGGAGAAATGGTCGTCGTCGTAGTGGTGGTTGTTGTTGTGGATGAAGAAGCTGAACTGGAGGCCGTGTTTCCTTTCTTTGTGTTCCGTTTTGTGGATGTCTTTTTCTTCTTCTTGTTTGAGGTATTGACGTCATCTTCTTCATGTTGGTCTGCTGCTGGATCGTGTGCATGATCTGCATTGTTCTTTCTCTTGACGCCTTCCTTCTTTTGTCTCTTTGTCTTGGATTTGGCAGCTGGTGTCACACTTGAGGTTTCTGTATTTTGAGTCTCCATTGCTCCTAATGATTGAGGAGAAGTTTGAACTGTAGTAGCAGAACAAGTCATGGTTGTATTGATGGATGTCGCCAAGGGAGAATTCGATGGTGCACCTCCGATCGATCGATTCATAAAGCCTGTAGCAACCAACAGCGGTGAATGAATTTGAGGTGAAGAGCAAGGAGATGACATGACCGAAGAGGACGATGATGATGATGAGAAGGTTGTTGGCGTTGTTGTGGTCACTACCAATGCATTCCTCAACTTGATTTGTTGCTTTGAATTTGAATTGCTCCAAATTAAACCCAACGAAGAAGTACAATCTTTCAAGGCTTCATCAATATCGGCACAAACACTATGGATCTCTTGTGGAGTGGGAGGATGGAGAGAGGTTGAGAGTGGTGAAGAGGATGGTGCCGATGAAACAACTTGTGGTTTTGTTATTAAGGATGAGGATGGATTGGAAGTGTTCATGATCGTTGATTGTTGCTGTGGTTGTGAGTTAGTTGGAGTTGAGTTGTTATTAGAAAGAAGAAGGCTATTCAACACATGAACAACATGCTGTTCTCTGGAAAGAGAAGAAAGCATTGTCATGAGTGGATTCTGTTGTTGTGTCTGTGGTTGAATACTCTGACCCTGATTACTCATACTTCCCGATGGACTCTCGCTCAACAAGGATGACCGATTAGCCATTGGTGCTTGTTGTTGCATGTTCGTAGGATACATTTGCTGTAGTTGTGCGGATAATCCAGCAGCAGCAGTAAACATGTGGGAAGCGGATCTACTCGTAAGGTTGGATGATGATGATGGTTGATTCATCATGAATCCACCCATCGATGGACTAGTCATCATCATCATCAGGTTGTTGTTATTATTAAAATTCAATAAGGTAGAATCTCCTCGTAATAAGTGTTGGTTACTTTCATGTATCAGATGATTATTGTTGTTGTTTGCAGAGAGACCCAATTGCATGGAAGGATGATGTTGAGAAAGGAGAGCACTTTCCAAGTATTGAGTCAAGGCGAGTTGATCCTGAGCTGAAACCTCATGATGAGCGATTGGAAGAGCCGATGGCACAGTCGTCGTATGATTATTCATGATGGATTCTGGAGAAATAGAGTCCAAATCAATTGTAGAAAAGAACAAATCATCCTCATGATCACCAAACATGCCCTCAAGAGGATTTGTTAATCCAACATTCAAAAGTGAGGAGAGGTTGGTAGACTTTGGGGTTATGGCGGGAGACTGGCAACTCGTCGTTCCTTCATTTTGTTTTTCAATCATGGACTGAGAAAGTTCTCCTGGAGTTGTTGAAACAGTAACAGCCATCATGCGTTTGTTACTGCTTGAGAGTACTGTATTTCCAATACTGGTTTCGTCCTTTGGGTTCATGGTAAATGAAGCGACTGCTGGAAAGGTAAGTAATGAATGAACAAGAGAATGGCTCGATAATTCTGGGAATGACGAATCGTCGTGTTTGTTGTTGTTAACAATGTGGTTATTCAAATTGTGGTCGTTCTTGGTAATAATGGGAATCAATGTCGAGCTACTACAGGTGGTACTTGTTTCAGAAAGAATGCAATCAATATCTTGGTGGTCAGCAACAACAAGAGGAGCAATGGACGTCGTCGAATGAGAAGCACAATGTGAGGACTTGGTAGGGTTTGTTGTTGTTGGTACCCACAGAAGTGTTGACATTCTTTTGGAAAAGAGTACGTGTGAAATCAAGGTAAAGGAGCACGCTTTTATTGAGCCCACAAACATCACAAGATAGAGAAACGAATGCACAAAACCATTGTTGTGGATGCAACTCGAAGAGGTATTGACAAGCTGTATGCGCGGATTTATTGCCGTTCTGGCGTATTTGGCATTTGAGAAAATCGGCGAGAGTGATTGTTGACAGGTAAGAGGGTAAATTATCCCTCTGTTCACATTTTTAATTTGTTAACAAGTATGGCGGCGCAATTGGTACTAGAAACCTGTCAGATATTCGTCAATCCCACGTCAGCTGATTTGAGTAAACTCCAAAGGAATCAAAAATAAAATGAGTGAGTCTCTTCCTGATTGGTTTGCAAGGGTTTGAAGAACCGAAGCAACTTGGGTTCTTACTGCAACAACAGACAAACTGAAACGAAATATAGAGGCCATAGGACGTTACACCATTATTCGCTTCAGCTGAAGCTTGTAAAACAACAGCGTGCCAACGAACAGCTCACGGAAGACAGATCCTTGCTAGCACCCTAAACCAGAACTATTACCAATTCTACTGCATGACATTCAACGAATAAATTTTTTTATGCTTTCATATTCATTTTTGACTTGACGAATATCTGACAGGTTTTTAGTGCGCTTCAACGTCGGATGCGCCGCCATATAGTTGAGTTGTGGCCTTGCGAGTGTGATCTGGTGCGAAGGTAGTTGTTTGAATTTCCATCCTGTGGTTGTGCTTTCAACGAAAATGAATGAAAACAAGACAAGAAACTTCCAACCTTATCCTTCGAATGTGATAAGGCCATCAGAGAAAGCAAAAGTTTATGCATTCGCCCCTTGACAAATCTTCCAGTTGTTCGTTGTGAATTCTTGTAGAGTTTGTGTCTGTTGAGATTTGTGAGTGTTCTGAAATTATTGAGGATGGCAAGACTAGTCTCAATTCAATGGAGAAATCTTTCAATTTGAGTAGGATATCGCATCATTACACCACCTTTGGCCACACCATGAAAGTTAGGATTCGGGATGGGGTTTGAAAATAACACAGGGCATTCAGGCGGTTTGATTGGTGAATGACGGGAAGTTGCCAAAGGAGCCAGCACAACACACCCATCTCACAAGATGCTATGAGAAGAGAGTGTAGTGGGAAGGTGTTATCCCAGTTAGAGGTTTAGCTCGTGTTAGATGATTCGGCTCTACGTTGTATACTTGTATGAAAGGAGTCTTTCAACAATTGCAACACATTAAAACATATCCTACTACAATTTGTAGAGAGCATTTGAGTTGCCATTTAGTGTTGGAAATGATGAGATCACTCGAGTGCTTTCTTTAGAGAAGCACATGTATTGAGCGGTTGGCCATTTCTTTCAACCAAGCTTTCTAAGCACGCTCACTTGCTATCTCACACGAGTGCTGTTGTAAGCTTTCTCCTTTGATGAAGAGGTTCATCGAGATTCTCAAAGGCCAACAGAGCCTTGCTGCTGTTATTTTAAAACGTATCTCTCAAATTTTGAAAGAGTGAGATTCCGAGTAGGTCATTGAACGTTTTTTTTATGCAAATTACAGGAGCCTGGGTCGATCGGCCTGCTTGCGGACTCTTGAAGTGAACTCAGCAAAATGCTGGGAGTTTTCGGGCGTGTTGATTATAATTTGAAAATTAGGTCCTGACCAATTCAACTGAGGCCTGGCTAATTGTTGCCCATAAAAAAAATCAATGGCTTGAACTTCCAGTGTTGAATTTGAGAGAGTCAATTCGGTGGTTGGATGGTTTGAATGTGATCTTAACTGCCACCATGAAAGGTGCCTTCTTGTGGATTTCATGATCTTGAAACCCAAACAAGCCTCTTTTCTTCAGTTTTCAATTTACTTTCCATTCTCATGATGCACTTCTCGAGAAGATCTTTACGTGATAAATTCATCTTGATCTTTTTAAAGAACATTAATTTGGTTTTGGATTTATTGAAGCTTTAAACTCAAAGAGATCTCTATGTTGTGTAAATGTCACAAATAAGCGGTACATTTCATTAAAATTTGAAAAAGTAATTAAAGTGGAAAAGATCAATTTGCACATTTATTGGTTGTGGAAGAGTGGTTGAGCATATTGTTGGAGTAATTGTGTCCTTAGAGGGTGTTGAGAATTGAGGTCAGCGGCAAGAGTTCTTACTAGGAACATAAATTGTGGAGAATTCTTTGGAATTAACTTTAAAATTAATGAAAGAAGGTTGTAGGTAGCATCAGGAGAGGATTGTGTCAAGTGTGAGTAGCAGTTCAAAAAATATGGAACAAAGGATTGCACAAAAAATTGATACCAACTGTGGACGGACATCATTGCTTGTTGCGTGCCATTCGAGAGAATGGTAATGGCTCTATTCAACAAGGTACTTATAAATTCAATGGCAATAATTGGGCTTGACATGAGTGACATTAGGATCATTGGGATGGCGTCAATGTTAATAATGGATTTGCATGCTAAATTCATGGCTTCCAGCAATGTTGGGTTGGTATGGTATTCAAGGTTCAGTATTGGTATCATATCAATCATGAGTTTGGTGATGAAGGGTTCTGGAAGATGTTTAAGAGCTTTGTAAATAAATTTTTTGCCCTTTGGAATATTCCAAATCTCTTGTTGGTATTGGAGGTAGGCAGCAATAGTTTGGCAATTTTGTCTAAATGATTCCGAAAGCTTTTGTGGAATTTCCTTTCCTCCTGCTTGCTTTGCAATGGTCAAAAACTCTTCAATTTCAATGAGAAGGGTGAGACCATTTTCAATGCTTGTTCTCAATTGTATAGAATTATTGTAGATTAATCTTGTGCGCAACTCTGAGGGCATTCTTTTGTGTTTGAAATATTGTTCAATGAGTTCTTGACGAAAGACATTGGTGTCAAAGCAAGTTCTTGGAGTTCTAACATTTTGAGAGGGAATTCTTCCAAATAATCTTGCAACAGGAGTAGTGTTACTGGCATTTGTTTGTACATTTTTAGAATTTTCTCTTGATTCCTCTTCCTCCAATAAATGTTTCAAAACAAGGTCGGTGTTTTCCTCAGTCTTGTTGTTGTGAATAAAGTAGTAATAATCATCTTCGTATCCATTATTGACCTGAAGATCCACCATTTGTTGTCGCACAATGCTTTCAACTTCATCAATTCTCATAAATTGAATAATTCTGTGAGGTTTATCTGTGGATCTATTACTGTTGCTGTTGTAGCGATTATATCTATATTTGTGCTCTTGTGGAGTAGGAATTTTGTTTAAAACCTCATTAATGACAGTCTTATTGATAACATTGTAACAGTCTTCCTTATTCTCGGTGTTGTATGTGTTATATTTTACCAATAGATAGGATGGTGTTGTGTGTTGTTGAGTGGAAGCATTGTTACTGGTTGTCTTGTTATCAACAAGAGTTGTAGCCGTTGACGAGCCAGTACTTGTTGTTGTGGATGTATTTTGCTGCTGTTGAGGTTGAGGTTTTACCAATTCAGGATGTTTGTGGCATATGGTCAGAGGTAAAAATTCAAGAGATTCCAAGCCGCCAGTGAGTGGAATTCGAGAGTTTGGCAAGTTGTCTCCTAAAGGAATTCCAAAAGGAGAGTTATTACCACTTGAAATGTGAGGATTTGACCGATTACTACTTGAAATGCTTTCCATGTCTTCGTCCTCCTCTGAAATTAAGTCATTAATAAAGTGTAGTCCCGAGTTTGCCTGCTTTCCCGATGACGAGCCAATGCTTGATGCTGAGCTTGTGTGATGATGATGGTGATGGTGTACTGATACTCCTGCGCTACCACTACCAGTACCTCCAAAGAATGGGCCAAGAAAAGCGTCTTCTCCGACGACTTGCTGATTTCTTGGAGATTGTTGAGGTGCAATAATACCACCTGTGCTTCCACTGCTACCTTGACGAGTGTGATGCTGAATGTTATGAATACTACCACTGCTACTTCCAGCTGCTCCTCCAAAAATACTTGATAATATTCCAGGTGATGTTGTTGAGGTTGGACTTGCAGAAGGTGGATGACTTGAAGTTGTGGTGGTACCAAATAGACCTGGTGTAGAATGCAAACCAGGTGAAGTACCTGTTGAAAAAGCCGAGTGATGACTCACTGATGTTCCCATATTGGTAAATGCACCAGCATGGCCAACAGAAGATACAGGATGGTGGTGTGCCGATGATGCTGAGGAGGAGCCAACAAATGATAAACCACTACTTCCTCCGCCTGGAATATAATTTGAAGGTGAAGAAGGTGAATGTCCGAACGGAATGGATGTTGGTGATGGTGTAGAAGTACTAAAAAAGCCCATTCTACCACTGCTGGTTTGATTGGAGGGAGTCGTATTAATAACAGTATTAGCTGCAGTGTTGTTGTTGTTGGCCGATACTCCCTTTTGTTTCCATGTTTGTGAGCCACTATTCAATGGGTTATTAATTGCAGTAGTAGTATTATCCATATGGATTGATTTTGGGTGTTGCTGGTGATGATGGTTATTTCCAAGCAATAAATCTTGATGATGGGAGGACGCAAAAAATCCATCATCAACCACATCAATATCGTTGCCAAATGTTTCATCATTCTTATCATCATCGTATTCACTGATAGATAATTTATTCGCCAAACGATCATCAAACTCATCAAAAGAACCTGCCCCGCCTGCTTTTAGCAAGGACGGGTTGAAGAAGTCGTCTTCTTCTGGTGAAGTCATTTTTTTTCTCGTCGACGACCAATACAAACTGAATGATAATTCAACAAGTACTTTTTTAACAATATAGATCGAAACTACTCCCCTAAGGAATCAATGATTTCAATGTCGAAGTTTGTCAATGCTTTTCCCTTAATACAAGTCTCATTATGACAACAAACGCATCAGTATTTGGAAAGAGGAACATGGAAATGGAAACGCGCTCAAAAAAAACCTACAAAAAATACGTTAATCGCTGTAGACGCGTGTTCTCTTGTTGATTCCGTATCGATACGATCCAAGGCTGTCTGAATCAAATCTCGTCATCACAGCCAAACAAATTTTATCATCCATCATCACGGAGAGAAAGAAGACTTTTTTAAAAACAACACCCACCAAACAACAACAATATCCCCTACACAAATGTCTATCGAACACAGAGTTGGAGAGAAATACGTTCTAGGTAAAAAGATTGGAAGTGGTGCTTTTGGTGAAATTTTCATTGCTACCAACAAGCAAACTCTGGAGAAGGTTGCCGTTAAATTGGAACACCGAAAGGCCAAACATCCACAACTTCTCTATGAGGCTCGTTTACTTAAACTTTTGAATCTCTCAAAGAAAGGTTTGTTTTATATCTTTTTGATGTTTGATTACGAGCCCAACACCTGTCCCGTTGTGTTTTTGTAACCTGATTTATTGTATTACATTCGTATCATATTCGTGATCATCATGGTGTGGTTCTGAACCATCATCATCACAATTACGTTTTGGTGTAATTCTAATTTTATACAATGATGATCTGTGGCCGATGATGAACTATGATTTTGTGTATGCACAACACATCAACTCGTGGTCTCTTTGAACCATGACTACACTTACAACAACAACCTCTCGTGTCATTTCAAAAACTATTTCCATGACATCCTCTAACGGTCTACTTTAAAATTGATAACTTGTCCATGGAACGAAAATTTGAATTACCTAATTCTTTGAAAACTTGCAATGACTTGTCATACCTACAAAAATACAATATTCGACGTTGCACAATATCTCGATGAGGAAGCGGTGGGTATTCCCAAGGTGAAATGGTATGGTATCGAAGGAGATTTCAACGTGATGGTCATGGATCTCCTCGGAACCTCTCTCGAAGAATTATTCAATCGTTGTGGCCGCAAATTTAGTTTGAAAACTGTACTCATGCTTGCTGACCAAATGTTGAAACGTGTCGAGTATTTACACTCCAAGAACTTTATTCATCGTGATATCAAACCTGATAACTTTTTAATGGGTCCACCAAAGAAGTCAGAAATTGTCTATCTCATTGACTATGGTTTGGCTAAAAAGTACAGAGATTCTAAGCACGTACACATTCCATATCGTGATAACAAGCATTTGACTGGAACAGCTCGTTATGCCAGTATAAATAACCATTTAGGTATTGAACAATCGAGAAGAGATGATTTAGAATCTTTGGGATATGTCTTTATGTATTTCAATCGTGGATCATTGCCATGGCAAGGATTGAAAGCAAGAACAAAACTCGAAAAGTATAACAGAATTTGCGAGAAGAAAACCAGTACTGGTATCAAGACTTTGTGTGAAGGTTATCCACCTGAATTTGCCACCTATCTCAATTATGCTCGTTCCCTCGGATTTGAAGACAAACCTGATTATCAATACTTGAGAAAATTGTTCCGTGATTTGTTTGTTCGTCAAAAGTTTGTCATGGACTATGAATATGATTGGGTAATTTTGGACAAGAAGAAGGCCGAAGAGCAACAAGGTGGCGTTGTTGGAAGCAGTACTGCCATGGTAGGAGGTGTTGGCGTTCCTGTTGGAAACACCACAAACAACATGGTCGGCTCCTCTTCTGGTCTTGTTCCAAATCAACAATAATTTGAATGCATGAGTGCGACTCGTAACACGACATTTTCATGCATAGCTTGACCTCCCTCAATATCCTTTAAGGTTATTGGAGATTTTCCTTTTTCTCCTCTCTCTCTTGTAGTTGTACATATTACTGTTTTCCTCTGTTGCTTCTAACGTGCATTGTGACATGTGTACACATGACGATGAATAAACGCTGTTGTTTTTAATTCTTTCTCGAGAAGTTGTTGTGGAGACAGAAATCTCCGATCGTCCAATCGTTCCACTTTACGAAGATTGTAATCCTTTCACATCACCACAAAAAAAACACAAAACATGATCAAACTTTCCACCCTCGCTCTCTTCAGCGTTCTCTTCTCGCTCTACGCCACCATGCTCGTCATGGGAGCTGGTATCATCCAAAGCAACCCAACCACGATGGCCGATCAACTCAAACATGAACTCAAGGCTCGTTTGAGAACCTCACCTGCTCTCTTCAACAAACTCCTCAAGCTCACCATCAAGGAACAACAACAAGCCTCACCTGCCACTCTTTCCCGCCTTGCAACTGCCAAGAACAGTTATGAATTGTGCGATTTGTGCATCAACTTGTTGGATCAGACCATCAATAATTTGGTGAATATTATTTTGAATGTTGGTGTGATTGGTGGATGTGGAGACATTTGCAAATACTTGTCCAACTTGGGTTCTTTGACTGTTGTTGCATGTAATTTGGTGTGTGATTATTTGGGTGTGAATGAGTTCATTAACATGATCGAGAATGCTGATTTGGATGCTATTTATGGATGCCAATTGGTTTCCTTGTGTCCAATTCGTGATTGCAAAGCTCCAGTCTGTGCTCAATTCTTTAACACTCGTGTTGTTCCAGCCATTGCTCCAAAGGGAACTACTTTTAATGCTGTCTCTCAATTGAGAATTTACAATCAAACTGGTACTGGTGGTATGTAACATTTCAATTGTTTCATGTGTGTGTGTGTGTGAATTTTAACATGTTGTTGTTGTTGTTGATTTTCAAAACTTGCTTTTTCGGCTCACAATCCATCCATCTCTTTTAAATGACACTCATGGATTTTGATGATGGTCATGAATTTTGTTTCAATATTGTTGTTGTTGTGTATAATATACACATTGTTACAGAATTGTACTTTGAAGTCGATGGTCCAGTCACTGCTGACATTGCAGGAGGTGAATTGAAGGGACAAGGTTTCGCTCCAGGCAACTATGACATTCAAGTTCAAATTCAAGCTCAAGATGATGAACAAAACCAAGTCGTTTGGTTCCCAGGTAAATATGAATTTTTCGTTGCTGCCTGTGAAGGAGAATGTGGTAGCAAGCATCCACACAGCAGAATTTTGGCTGAATCTCGTGCATTCTTTAACATTACTCAAAATTAAAAGAATTGTTTTTTTGAGTGAATAGATATCATGTTGTTATGATGTGTCATGGGATCGTTACTGAAACACGCTCAGTGCTCTTTATTTGGTCTCGTGATTGTTTTTGGAATATAGAAAAAAAATATCATCAGAGCGGCAGAGTTGATTTCGAGAGGAGAAACCGATTGTTGTAGAGTTTTGCATTTTGTAGAGAGAAAAGGCTTTGTTTTTGCGAAACAGTTACACAGCCCTATATATTGATATTTTCAATTTTAAATTTATAATCATTGCAGATCCATCAGATCTGAAAAATAATTTCTACATTAATACATGTCGGATTGTGATTTCTTGTACAAGGGTAAGCAATCAATGATGATCATATTGAGATTTTATTGTCATGGGATTATCAATATTGATCTTTGTGATTAGTTGTTGTGATTGGAGATTCGGGTGTTGGAAAAAGTAATCTCATCACAAGATTTACGAAAAATAGTTTCAATTTGCAACCAAAACCAACCATTGGTGTAGAATTTGCTGCAAAAGCAATTACCTATGACGGAGCACGGATAAGAGGCCAAATTTGGGACACGTAAGTGACGTAAAAAATCTCTCATATGAAAATATCGTTTTCATGTATTTAATTTAATAATACTATTGGATGATGATCATTGACGTACGACTAATTTTATTGACACACTCGATTCATGCCTATTTTGTTGAAATATTCCAACAAAATTATAGAGCTGGTCAAGAACGTTTTCAAGCAGTTTCTGCTGCTTATTATAGGTATGTACGAGGCACTAGTAATGGCGAATTTACACATGTACACAATTTGGAAAATATTGGGATGCACAATATTACAATGTTTTTTGGGAATTGTTTAACTCTGTTGTCACATTTCTTCAAAATTTCCTTCCTCCCACACACTTGTGAATTTTGATCCAAATGAATTGTTCGTACACAACCCCAAAACAGAGGATCCCACGGAGCATTGATTGTTTATGATATTACAAATCGTGAGACATTTGACCATTTAGAAAAATGGTTTACTGAAATTGGCAAACAAGGTGAAGAGGGTTGTATTCATATCATTGTTGGAAATAAGTGTGACTTGTCGCATCACAGACAAGTGACAGTAGAAGAAGGCAGAAATTTTGCAGAGAAGAAGAATGTCATGTTTATGGAAACCTCTGCCCTTGATGCAACCAATGTGGAAGAAGCATTTTCCTTGCTTCTTCAAAATATTTACAAGACAAGAAAGCAAGCTCCACCTCCTTCAAAGAATGGTATGCGTTTGGATAATGACGATCATGTGCCGTTGCCGCAGGTGAATGATGAACCTTTGGGATCATGCAAGGTTTCACTTGATACGTCACATCACAAAAGGCCGGCCACATCTACTTCGGCATCCTCTTCTCAATGTTGTAAATAGACGACCACGTTGGTCATATTTATTAAATTTTGCTAATTTGCCGTTAGCCAAAACAGAAGAACCAAACGAGCGAAATGAACCATTTCACAATACAGTAACAACTCTCAGGAAATATATTTATTTCTGTTGCTTCTTCAAGTAATCGTTCAGTTTAAGAATAATATCCTTTTCTACCTTCATCTTGTCCACAAGATCAGTTTGCTTAGTGGTGGTCTTTTCAAGGAATCGCTGCTTGTCTGCCGAATTTTTCTTTGCATGATTGAGAGCTTTCTTGGCCTTTTCTACTGCCTTCAAAACACGATCTTCATTTGTTTGAGCCTTCTTTAGATTTTTGGTTGCAGTACCCATTCGTTTGACGGCTTGAGCCAATGCTTTTCGGTCAACTTGAGCAGAGCTGCTGATGGTTTGTGCTGACAAGCCTGTTTCTGCATGCTGTTGAGGGATTTGTGCAATAAGTGCCTTGATTTGGTCCACCACATTAACTTGATTCTCCGAGCTCTTTAAGGTATTCTGATTTCGGTTTTGTAAGTATTCCAAAAATCTCTCTCTCAAGAAGGATCGAATCGATGATCTTTCATGATCATTGTATCGAGAGGGATCTGGGTATTGAGGTAAGGGATACATGAACATTGGCGAAGGTTGAATATTTTGAATGTTGTTGATCATTTGAGTCGATTGGGGTGGATTTTGCGACACTGGAGCTGGCTTGGTGCATTTGGCAGAATGTTTCTTGACACGACGATGTGGTTTGTGTTTCTTCTTCTTGTCTACTCGTTTAATTTGAGACAAAAGATCCTTCAAATCAAGTGTTCCAACAGAGCTGCTTGGACGTCTGTTATTTCTTCCTGAAGATTTAACTCCGTAAAATCTTCCCACGACTGGGACGTTTCGTGGCTTTTCAATTTGAGTCTTTGGTTCATTTGAGTTCGATTTCAATGGTTCAGCAGTGTTGGTCGTTCCAGCTGTGTTTGGTGCATTAGTTGAAACAGGTACGCTTGGAGATGCTGTTGGTGTCTGAGAGGAAACAGCTTCAGAGCTTGGAGATGCTGTTGGTGTTGTTGACACAGGTGTATTGACAACGTTGTTTCCACTTGTTTGAGTGGACTCTGTGTTGATGCTTGAGTCAGCTGCAACAGTGCTGACCGAGTTGACAGATATTGGTTTGAAGTCGTTACCTGATATCATGTTGGTCATCATGGATTGTGATGAGACAGCGTTAGAGACGATGGGCGTCTGAGTGGCATCAACTGGTGCATTGACAGGTGTCGAGTGAGCATTTGAGGAACCTGCCTGGCTTGCTTGTGAGCTAGCGGATGTCTTAGTTGAGACGGCCACTGGAGAAGAAGCGTTAGGTTTTGACGATGCTTTAGGTTTCATTGTTGGTGATTTCTTGTTATCTTTAGTGGTGGTAGTAGTATGACTCTTCTTCGTAATACTTGAGGAGTTATTGGCCGCTTTTTTGCTTGGTTGAGGCTTGGACTTCTTTGGTGATGCCTTATTCACGGATGCACTTTGGGCTGATGATCGCTTAGCAACCTTGTCCTGTTTGGTTTGAGAGGATTTCTTTGACAAAGCTCTCACCAGAGATGTTGATGCTGATTGAGCGCTCTTCACCGTTTTTGATGACTTAGAACTTGTTGGTGAGGCAACAGCGGTCAAGCTCTTTGGTTGAACCTTTTTGCTCCTTTGAGAACTTGTTGTTTTGACTGGAGCCTTGATGGATGTCTTTGATGCAGTTGTTTTAGCTGTTGTTGTTGTTTTCATTGAAGGTGTCGTGCTATGTTTGGCTTTCTTTTGCATCAACGATGCTGTAGAGTTACCATTTGCAACAGAAGCTGAGGTTGCTGATTGTACCAATCGACGAGAGGATGATGCTTGTGATGAAACTGCAGATGAAGTTGTTGATTGTGCCGTTCTGGTTGTGGTAACAGTCTTCTTTGAAACGTTGGATTTCTTGTCATTTCTTGACTCCTTTGTTGTGAGCGGTTGTGTGTTTGATTTAGGTTTTGTAGGAGCCTTTGTTGGAGATGGCTTGTCATCTTTAGTGGTTGTGGTAGTTTGACTCTTCTTTGTGCTACCTGTAGAGTTATTGGTGCTTGCTGGGATAGGCTTGCGTACGCTTACAACTGTTTTGCGTGGTTGAGGTTTGGACTTCTTTGGCGATGCCTGATTCACTGAAGCACTTTGTGGTGAATATGGCTCGGCAACCTTGTCCTGTTTGGCTTTCTTTTGAATCACCGATGCAGTAGAGTTACCTTTTGCAACAGAAGCTGCTGATACCAATGGACGAGCGGATGATGCTTGTGATGAAACTGCAGATGCTGTTGTTGATTGTGCAGTGCGAGATGTCGTAACAGTCTTATTTGCCTGGTTTGAAACTTTCGATTTCTTGTCATTTCTTGACTCGTTCGTTGAAAGTGGCTGCCCTTTTGATTTAGGTTTTGCAGCAGTAGGTCTATGTTTAGTTGTTGCTCTATCAGATCCAATGGAAGAAATTGCTGCTTTCTTTGTTGAGGGCTGCGACACATTGGATGAGCCTACAGAGTTCAAAGAAGCTACGGAAGGTCTTTTTGCTGATGAAGATTTTGTGCCAGACTTTTCGATTCTTGAAGGTTTGATTGTTGTTTCCACTTTTTGGCTCTCCTTAGTGTTCGAAACAGAATTCAAAGATGTCACGAGTGGACGAGAGGTAGCAGACTTGTCGCTATCAGAAGAGTATTTTCTGTTGAGCGAGTTGGTCGAGATGACGCTTGTTTCAACAACTGTGGGTCCTGAAGCCTCGTTTGTTGTGCTTGCCTTGAGGGGAGGTGCCATCGAATCAGAACTAGAGCTTGAAGATGGGGCCTCACCTTGCGACAACACCACCTTTCTATACTTCAGCTTTCGATACCATTTCTCCTTACATAGTGGATTGGCATAATATCCTTGAATGGAACCACATCCCCTTGCGTTCAATTCTTCCTTTGAAGAAACCTCATGAGGCATATTCTTTGGATCATACGACAACACCAATGATGATCGATCCGACACTGCACTACAATCGCCCTCTCTGTTCAAAACACAACCTCTCTGAGAGGACGCCACCACAGCGTAAAATCCTGATGAAAAGGCTTGCGCTGAAATGAATGTGATGATTAAGGCCATCAACATTTGCACCACCAGCCTTGAACCCTTATGTAATTGATGAGGGGCCATTTTTTTTTGATGATTTTTTGTAAACCTTTACTGCTGCGATACGGTGTATTTCTTTACGAAATTAAGAGTGACACACAGTGGTTTAACCGGAGCCAAAATACTCCAGCGAGTTTGTTGGCGAGTTGGCGAGGGTCAACGTTTCTTGATGCATCATTTGAGTGCTTTTGTTTATGTACTTTATTGCACAACAACTCTTGCCTCAATTCCAACCGAGAGGGTGTATGCCTTGTAAAGCTTTAGGTGATCCTTTACAATACTTAACTCTCAAAATTTCACATCATTTGAAATCTTTTCTAAGGATTGCAAAATATATTTTTTGGGGGGCGTCATCCACTTTCCATATTTTCAACAAAAACATCTCTCACTTTTGATAGATTCGAATTTCGTCTTTGAAATGTACCTTTGAGATTCAAGTACAGCATCCTTCACCTCCTCGAATTGGCGCTCTGTATTGTTTTGATTTCAAAACTTTTCAAATAATAATTACAACCGTTGGCCAAACACCTCCTCTACCACACTAAAGACGACGAATTCATGGCATCCCACTCCCCACCTGCTAGCACATCATTCTCTTCCTTGCAAGCATTTCGTCCGAACCGTGCAAAACTCTCTCTTTCTGATTACATTCAACAAATTGCCAATGTGATTGAACAAACTCCAACTCCTCCGTTACTCTCAGAATCCATTTTCCTTTCTGCCAATTCTGATCCAACAACCAATCATCATCATCATGAACATTTAACCTTTTTTCAACAACAACAACAGCAAGAACAATGGAGCAACTGTTGGAATGAAATTTACTCACGATACAGTCATGAATTATTTCTACAAATTCAACAAATATTACGCGAATATTTGATGATGGAATTTCCTCAATCACCCCATACTTCGCCTCATATTGAACGGTTTTTACAAGAATACGTGTGTGAGTTATGGTGGAAAGGATTAGTAAGACAATACGATGAGAATGTTCCTCATCATCGTCATCATCGTTCTCAAAAACAACATCCTTACAGAAATACATCCTCGCATCCTTCAAGAGTAGTTCAAAATTCCAATCCTTCTCAATCGGTTGTTTCTTCTGTTTCTATGAAAGGAGGAACAACCTCCAATAGTCTTGAAGTATTTTCTCAATGTGAACGAAAATTGAGAGATCTCTTGAATACGACGTGCCCCAATGGAGGAATGAAAGTGTTGGCAGTGGCGAGTGCGAGTGGTTATCCTCATGTGGTGCAGTGGCTCATTGAAATGGGATGTCAAATCGATAGTGAGAGTCCTCCAGGTGTAAGTACAATGAGTGTGTATTTGAAAGGTTTTCAATAATTATATATTGATGTCAATTTCTAATGATTTCAAACATATTGACTGAAAATATTTGAAAATTGGTTGATAATGAATGACATGATCCTTAATAATGAACACAATGTGGATATGATGAATGAACATGATGATGATATAGAGACGAACTCCCTTATTTATTGCGGCCCTTAAAGGTCACATTCAAGTCGTTCGAGTCTTGTTGGAGAAGGGAGCTTCTCCTCATCATGAAAGTCTCTTCAGTGATGACGTTGTCATGGTCTCTTATTATTGTGGAGTAGTGAGACAACGTGTGTTTGTGACTCCAGAAAAAGCAGCAATGAAAGCAGGGCATGTTCAACTGGCACAATTCATTCGAGAATTTGATTTGGAGAAGAGTCGAGCAAAGAGAAGATGTTTGAATGTAAGTAATGGAGAACTTGGTGGCTTTATGTTGAAATTATGAAATTATTGAACTTTTAAATCGACTGTTTAATTTCGATGATGGATGGTCGATTTTGGAAATAGAAATTTTACAAACATACCAAAGCATTGTGTTATTTGAATGATGAAGAGCGATGGTTTCATGGTCATGCCCTATCATCGGCTGGTTTGAAACTTCATGAGCCCTCTCTTGCTGATATTACTTTTACCCTTCTTTAACATTCTTGTGAGATATTATTTGTAAATATTAAAGGTATTCTATAAAATTGAAATTTCCTTCAATAACGTGCATATTTTTATAATATTGGATAGTATTGAGTGAAACTAAAAGGAGAAAATTTGAAAATTGAAAAAGGATTAAATTTGGAAAAAAAAATGCTGCGTTCCATCATCATGACTTCAGTGGCCGAGGCTTCATCATCATCAGCTTCTGGCACAACAAGCCTTCGGACGGTGAAGGCTCTCTTCCCACAACTCTCTTCAAGAGTCTATTGGATGAATAAGCCAATGAGGATGGTGTCCATAGTCATGTACCATCATCAACATTTATACAATTATTCAAAGAGCTTTCATACGTGTTGCCCCCGTGGAGTGGAAAGTATTAGTAATAACAACAACGACAGAGAAGTCAATCTTGCAAGCTCATCCTCCACTACTACCACTACTTCCGAAAATAACAAATTTATGAAATTGGGTGATCATGATGAAAATATTGATACGAATATTCTCGACTATTCAGTGAATACAATTCAACTTTTACGAGATCCTTCATCAAGTGCTAATTTGAGAGACTTTATGGTGGATACAATTATTCAAAAAAAACATAAAACATCGGAACGTGACCATACCATTGGCCACACTGAAAGCAGTCCTAATCAAACTTCTGAAGCTCGACAACAATTAGAATCAGTGCGTGATCGATTGCGAGAAAAATTTGGAAACAAGTTAGTCTCTCAAAAGAATACTATAACTACAACTACTACACATATCTCTCAACAAACAAAAGGTCTCTCAAATGCTACTTCCGAAAACTCTGCGGAAGAAACTACTCTGAAAAACGTGGAATTTATGAAAGCCATCAAACACTATGAGAATGAAATTGCAAAAAACGACAAGCTCCCGTGTTATGAAACTAAATGGCACATTGAAAATTATTTACGCAAACAATTCAAACGAGGGCAGAATCTTTCCACAATTCTAAATTACTTTGTAAAATATCCTGAAATCACAAGAACTGGTCAATTTTATACAATCTTCCTGGAGACGATTGCCATGAGTTTACCTGTTTCAAAAAAGATGTCCCTTGAAACTATTGAAAAAATTTTTGAGAAAATTCCATCCATCGATGTTTCACCTGACACCTATAGAGCTCTAATTTTATGTTATGCTAATAAGGGAAAATTGGACGCAATTCCAGCTCTGTTGGACAAAATGGACAGTCTCTTGGAAACTGGATTTTTTCGAGCTCAATCCGTCCCACTGAAAATAGCCAAAGAAAGTTATGAAAGTGGTAAATTATCAATCTCACAAAGCACAGATTCAAATCATGATGATAATATCAGTACTGAGCTATTACAAGAATTATTTATGCTTGAAATGTTTAAACTCAAATTGACATTTGAGGCATTTGCTCACAACCATGACTTGAATGCACTAGAAAAATTAATAATCATGAAGAGATCAGAATGGCTGAGTAACCACCATTTTATTTCCACCTACATCAAAATGGTCAATGATTCACTCGAGTTTTACTTGACCAATAACAAGTACCTTCATGCGAAAAAACTTGTCGACCTTTTTTACAAGTATGACCTTCCAAGATCAAGTATCTTTGAAAAACAATTGAAATTGGACTTGACTCCCGATAGAGGCAATTCAACATTATTTTTGGCTGAGAAACCTGCACACTACAATCGTTATGCTCGATTTTTCAATCTTCAACTGTTGCTGTATAAGGAATTGTCAGAATGCAAGCTCAATTCGAAACTCCAAGAACATTCTTCGGATGCCCAAAATAAGAGAGAATACATGTCAGCACAAAAATTGTTTGACATGACTATTGCAGAAATGAAGAAGGAAGGAATTACGTTTACAAGCGAAATTTATTTGACTATTTGTGCGTACTATTATTCACAACAAGCCTATGAACGGTGTGTGTTCTTTTTTGAGGACGCCTTACGACATGGAGTAGTTCCTAAAAAACGCTCTTTTATATATGCAGAAGAATCGTATTTAGTGTTGAATGACATCAAGAAGGCCATGCAGTGTCACCAATTGAGAGACGTGTATTACAGGCTTTTTGAGTTGAATAATGAAATTTTAGCACAAGGTGCAGCTGCTTGTCTTGACTACCTGTACAATTATAAGGACAAAAAAACACAACAAGCAGAGCTTCGAAAACGAAAAGAACAATCAAGGATGCGAAAAGAAAAAGAGGAAGAAGTGATGGAAGAGGAGGAGGAGCTTGGAAGGCCTGTTCTCGCCAGCACCAAGCAATCGAAAGCAAAGAAGCAAGAAAAAAAAGGTTACACGTTGTCAGAGGTGTTTTTAAGTCTCACTAAGAAACAATAAATGTCCAAATTGCAAATTCAAAGAAGTGCAAGATGTTTGTGGAACTAACGTCATTTATTTGATGAGTTGTCTATTCTTCTTCCACATCACTCATTTCTTGCTGTTCATCTTCTTGGTCATCCTCCTCGACTTGTTCTTCAGGAGTTTCTGTTTTTTGTTGCTTTAATTTGGCCAAAAATTCTTTACCCTTGGCTGTGAGCTTTTGTTTGACATCATCTTCACGCAAGGCCATATCCAATTTAAATGGAACATACATATCTTGTCCAGGTATGATGAGTTCACAATTCTCAAGAATGGAATAGATTTGATCGATGCTTCTGAGGCCAACATCTTCTAATTTTTGTTCCAAATCTTGCTGTTCACTTGTAAGACAATTATACCTCCTTCTCAAATCATTGAAATTGACAGCTTGACTATGATTATATTGTCCATTCATCAACTCTCTAGCAGTTAACACATTTGCGGATGTCAATGTTTTCTTCTTTTGAGAAATTGACATGACATATCCCCATCGCATGATATCTTCCAATTTCTTTTCCACATACAATGTTAATCGATCCAAAGCAGCTCTTGACATTTTCAAGTCATGCATAGTTGCTACCTCCTTCGTTCGACTATCAATAGGAGTATCAAACTTGGGCGACTCTCGAATAATGTGTTTACATGATCTGGCAATTCTGGTTGCAGGAATGGACTTTAATCTCGGACTTTCCAATTCCAACATGAACAAAATTGTAAGAATTTGTCTTCTCGATATGAAAATATTTGGTCCAATTTCAATCTTGTGCTTGGCTCGTGTATGTTGCTTATTCTTTTTTTTAATCTTTTTTAATCCATCCCAATCAAAATTTTCTCCAATTTCTTCGGAGGCTGGTTGTGCTTGACCCAATAATTCATCAAGTTTTTGTAATCGTTCCTCTTCCGTGAGTTCTCCTCTACTCTTACGTTGAACTCGGTCCTTTCCTCTTCCTTTCTTTGCCGTTCCCGAAGAGGTGGAGGATGAAGATGATGATGAAGTCTTTTGCTTTGCGGGCATTTTTTGTAAAATAAATTTTGAAAAAAAAATGTTGAAAATAAAGATCAGTTTTTGATAAACAATTTAGTGTGAACGGGACTGAGATTTAAAGTTAGAAAAAACCAGATTTCTTAATTTAAGGAGTTGAAAATTTTACCAAACACCTGTTTCAGTTATTGTTGTTAAGAATCCTGAGTTTAAAGTTGAGCTAAAGGACGAAGGTTCTACAAGTCCGATATAAAACAATCTCAACAAGAAACATCAACGAAGAGGCAATAAGAATTCCCACCAGTAAAACCATGCATGCACGAACAATTATTCCATTTGCAACATAATAACAGAATGATTCATAAATCATTCCACTTGATCCTAAATAAGAAAGTGATCTTTCTGCCCTGTAAACCTCAAAACGTTTTCTCAGACATTTTGGTGCGCCTCTGATGAATATCCATGCGATACCTCAAATGAACTCAAAGAAAACAAATGCCAACACTCTTACCGATGCGCTTTCGCCAGACAACTCTAAATCTCATGGACATCATCCTAGTCTTGTTATGCATGATCCTGAGTGCACATGCACAACAAGTACTTCACAATGGAGATACCATCTCAAGGGTCACTAATGTTTCAGAACAATTCCGAATCGAGTTAGCAGAATGGCAAATCCTCACGATTCGATTTTATGTTCATTCTGGACATGGCAGAGTCAAGTGGTCGCAAGATCCAACCATGTCATGGTCCTCAACGACATCCGAAAGGTTTGATTCCTTCTACTCTTCATCCAGAACCGTCACGACTAGTTATTTCAATTCCGTGGATTTTCCAGTTACCATTTTCTACCAAGTTTCACCGGAAACAAATGTGAACTATTCCTTTAAAGTGGAAGTGACTGATTTCACGGTTGTGATGGCTCTGTCCATTACTGGAATCTTGTTGGCAAGTTGGGGCGTTGTTGGTTTCGTTGTTGTTACAATCATTGTTGTTGTGATTCGAAGAAAAAGACGGAGAAGAAATGGTTGGTTGGCCACAGAAGATGAAATTTCATCGTTAACAGACCCTACAGAATTTAGTGAACCTACTGCTGTCACTCATTTGTGAGTCCTGAACGATTCATCTTTTTTGACACACTGAAGAATGATTTAAAGAAAGAAAGACTTTAAAATCATTTAAAATGATGGATGATTGAAAATCTTTCCATTTTCAAATATTAAAAAAAAATTATTGCTCAAATTCTGATTGAACATTCAGAACCATCACACAACGGATTTTGTTGAATTGTGTGGTTTTCAGGAGAAATTAATCAAGAGAGATTTCTATATATCCGACATGTCGAGTGAAATTATTTCAATATCGGGTGGATTACATGCATCATCATCCCATGGAACCTCACCATCATCTCCTGGATCGCATGGAACCTCACAAGTATTGAACGGTGGTGATTTTATGGTGAGCCGTTTTAGGAGAATGATTGAAGATGTTTGTATCTTATCATTGGATCGGAACGGAATGAATGAAATTATTAAAACCAAATATGATGAGAGTGTTCAAAAACTTGTCATGAGCCAATCACCGTTATCTGCAACAACAACAACAACATCTTCCGATACTTCAGCACAAATTTCCAATGAAGCCTCAAATAACTCGAATGTAGATCCGAAAAGTATCCAAAATTATTCATCAATAACTACACCAATAATTGGTGATAATCATGCGTTAACTACCAATCATGCCGAGACTGAATCATCTTCATCATGTGCAATCATTTATCTCAAACGTGAAGCTTCATTAATCACCAGTTATCCCAAATCAAAAAAAAAGCAAAAAAAGCAAACAGAAATAATGAACACAGTTCAAGAAGATTCATTTCTAGGTGGTTCAGATTTGACTCCATTGAGCTTGCAATTTTTCACATTTCCGAATGATATGATTGTTCAAGTGATTGCATGTAAAGCAGCAGAAGGAGTAGATAAAAGCGATTCTATTGGAAACATCATGAAGAAGAATAATTCTGCTTCGAAACAAGCAACACAGCAACATAATGCAGCTAGTAGTGATGAGAATTTCCCATTTGTTACTGAGAGCATTGATGTCAGGAAGCATCCACTCTTGAAAAGTATATTTGCTACTGAGGAAATGATCGGAGGTGATCCAGACAGCAATGCACTCTCACCGATTGTCAACGAGGATGACAATAATAGCTTTGATGAAGACAATGTGAATACTGAGGACGCAGAGATGGATTACGAAAATTACATCGAAAACGCAAAGCTTCATCCACCTGCTCGCAGTTATCACACGTTCATTAACACTGACGCACAAGGATTTAAATATTATGGATTTTGCTTTACAAAATTTTTCACATACCGAATTACGAAAGTTGGTGACAAGAATGAGAAGAATGTGGAAGTTTTTATTCGAATCCCTTCATGCATTTGCATGCTTTCTCGATTTGCATTTCATTCTACTTTTTTACGCTTTTTCTCACATCTCGATCAATATTTGTTTGAAATTAATGGAGGGTTCGCAAAGCCCAACGGTGCAAGATATTATGTTTTTGATGAAGAGTTACTACATTATATTTATGACTTTTTCAACAGCACACAACTACAACAGCTACCAAAACAAATTGAGAACTTGTCAAAAACCGACGACAACGAAGATAATAATTGTGCCATTTATGACAAATTGATTATACATTTTTCTCAAAAAACAAAAACGCTTTCAGACATCAATAACACAGAGAATGGATTTTCGTCATCAAACGAACTGCCATCATCCTTCTCTGATTTTAAAGTGGAATTTGACAAGCTCTTATTTATTGGATCAAAAGAAGAACACTTTAAAGAAGCTTCACTCTTTGAGAATGAGAGCGTTTTTGAGGATGATGCTCTGGGTGAGGACAGCACTGTTCTCTCACGTAGACTCTATAATTTTGACAGCTCATCAGATCTGTCGGCAAGCAATGGATATTTCCCAAATTCACCGTCTGAAGACGTATCACAACAATCACCTTTTAAGCAACCAATTTCTTCCACAACTCCAGTTCTGAATTTCCCATCATTTCCAACATGCGATTTTGACTTCTCCATTCTTACCAATGCTCTCCACATTGATTGCATTGTTACCATTGTAAATTATTTAGCTCTTGAAAAGCCCATCATTTTCCATAGTGTGAACCTTTTCAGAATGGTCATGGTTATGGAGAGTTTACGACACTTGATTTACCCATTCAGACTCACCTCAATTTACATACCAATAGCTCACGAGAAGATTATTAATTTCTTAGAGGCTCCTTTTCCATACATGGTTGGTACACATAGTGAAGTCATGTGGAATCATTTTCGTATTGGCTTTGAAAAGCAATCGTTTTTACGAAGAACCATTAGTCCACAATTCAACACGTTACCCTCCTCCAACTCATCTTCTTCGAACAAGATTAGTATTATTACAATGAATGAGACCAAGGCCAACAATGTTGCAAATAGTTCTGATTACGAAATGATCAACATTCCAGAAGGAGTATGCATTGTGAATCTTGACGATGATCGAATTCAATTTGTTGGAGAGGAACCAAATTTAGTTTCAAATTCTAGCAGAAATTGGAAATGGTCTCAGACACTCATCAGTTACATTAAAGACAGTTTGGAAAAGAGTAGAAAAGACATTGAGAGGAGTGAAAAAGATTACATGTCAACAATTTTGAAATATAGCCCCAAGATTGAAAACAAACCTCTACAAGGTACTGTTTCACAAATCAGCAGAAAGGACAGTCTACTCATGCGAAAGAAAAGATCGAGTGAGACACTTGCGAAAATGGTCATGTTGAAAAATCTTACAAATAAGGAGCAAGAAGAGGAAGAAGTCACTGGAAATGATCCTCTACAGGCTCCCAAGTCTCCTCATAGCACGAAAACCACGACTCAGAACTCAACATCCGAGTCGAACCATGGTGTCACCACGAAAACAAGTGCAGCGTCACCGTCGTTGCAATCTGGAACCAGAAAGAGATCATCAGCGGTCAAACAAAATCAAGCCTTCATGGAAACTGGCTCTAAGGAAGACTCCTCTGCTTCTCCAACTTCTACTACATCGTTTCAAGTATCCTCCCCAGGTGTCACCAATAGTCCAATGTCATCGTCTAGCTCAACAACCAGTACTGCATCTAATTCTACCCCTTCACCTCAGACCATTCGTAAAAGATCCCTATTTGAAAAACATTCAACCACCCTCAAATGTCCACATCCTATTCGTGAAATATTTATCAATGTATTTGTTCGATTATTGACGTGTTATGAATTATTTGTGCAGTACGAATCATTTAATCCAAAGGATGACATGAACATGAATGCAATATTTTCAATTGAAAAGTTTTTGAGCTTGGATAATAGTGGAAGTTTTAACCAAGCTTATCGCGCTTCCACAAAGATCAAACCAAACGGATCTGGTACTGATAATTTTGGAGGTCATGTCGACTCACAATTTCTACGAGAATTCTTCAAGACTCAAATTTTCCACTTTTTCCTTCAAAAGAAGTGTGAATTATTTTGGAATTTACATCACATTGTGAAAATTAGAGATCAAGAACCTGTTACCAATAAGCTTCATGTACACTCACAATCTCTTCCACAACTTTCCCTCTCATATGGATCATCAAATTCCATGGTCGTCAATGTTACCAATACATTTTACAAACTATTCGACTGCAAGATGCAACAAAACACCGAACGCTTTGTGTTAAATGTATTGCTGTTGAACTCTTCCTACAGAAGATGTTTTTTATACAAGAGAGGACGCTTTAGAAAATCATGGAAGAAGCGCTTTTTCGTTTTGAGAGATGACAACACCTTACTGTATTATGATGGACCAGACGAAAATCAACTCAAAGGTTCAATCAAATTAACCAATGATGGTCATGCAAAAATTATACCTGTAAAAGTTCAAGAAAAACGACATTTCGAAGGAAGCGGCGATGAAGACGCCCATTACGTATGGACAAAATCTCAACAACAAGAATTCATTAATTTATTACGTTCAACCAAAAACACGGATCAAGAGAATGCATCAGAAGATATTGATGGAATCCCACCTGTCACTGAACAATTTCCAACACCGTTCGTTTTTGCAATATACATTCCTGGTATTCGATTGCTTTTCTGCTGTGCAGAATCAGAGAGGTCTCGTGAGGAATGGCTTCGAGTATTGCGTGCAAAAGTAATGCCACTCGAATTTCTAAATCTCATGAAAGAGTATTTGGCACAACTTCAAAAACACAAACATGAAAAAAAGAGCCACAACAACAATTCATCAACAATTCAACCCATATCGAATCATTTAACACAGATTGCCCTCTCCAACTCTGGTTTAAACCACCATTCTCATTCGTCACCAAATTTACAACATAGTATGTTGTTACCACAACCACAACCACAGCAACAGCAACCAATAGTCATGTATCGAACCTTTGAATTTATTCCAAAATCATTCAGGCTTAATATTGTGAGTGGTCACAAGGATGGTACGAGCAACACTCGCAATTTCATGGACCACTTGTTTAATAGAATGCCACTAGAGGAATATATACTTCGAACATCACTTCAACAAATTGACTAAGTGTCATTCATGTTGACACACCAAACGATGCGCTAGAGAAGGACCTACGTGCTAAGGACGGACATTAAACGATGATCCAAAAGGATGCACAAATTTAATCTCTCGTGAACCTTTTCGTGGATTGCAAAAAAGATTTTCACAACTAAAAAAATGTTGAAAACGAAAACCATTCGTCTCAATTCCATACTCTCATTGCAATTACTTCCCTTCTTCTCCGATAATTATTGCTATGCATTGATCAATCATCGTACCAAACAATTTGCATTGGTAGATCCAGCTGACCCAGCCAAGATCCAACAATACCTTTCCGATGTCCAAAATCAATTTCAAGATAAAAAGCTGATTGCCATTCTCTGTACTCATAAACATTATGATCATGCAGGTGGTAATTCCTATTTTCAAAAGACCGATCCATTGATTGAAATTTATGGAGGTACTGAATCGGAAGCAGTAAATAAGGTGATTCCAACGGAAGAAAGAAAAGGCTTTGAATTTAAATTATTTGATGATCAAACACAAATTCAAGCCTATCATACGCCATGTCATACGAAAGGACATGTCTGTTATGTTTTGCAGAATAAGAAGGAGAATGGAGATGAATGGAATTGTGTTTTCAGTGGAGATACCATCTTTGCAGGTAAGATCGACGATGAAATGAGTGTTTTCTATTTGAACAATATTTATTTTAAATATAATTATATTTGGATCATGAAACGGTATTATAATGATGTTGAACCATAATTATGGTTATTCACGTGGATTGTATGAATTTGTGATTATTCCACAATAGCTGGATGTGGAAAGTTCTTTGAAGGTTCAGCCCAAGACATGTACTCAAATATTCAATTGATTCGATCATTATTTTCGGACGTGAATGAAGCAAAACGAACATTGTTGTGTTGTGGACATGAATATACTGTAAAGAATGTTCAATTTTTGGTAGACAGAATTTCTAATGTGCCACTTGTCACCCAATATTTGGAAAAATTCAAAAATTTGAGCAATAATGGAGAATTCTGTGTTCCAACAACCATTTGGGAAGAATTTGAATTGAATCCTTACTTTAGAGCTATTGATGATGAAAATTGTGAATTGAATTCAGCACAAGAAAAGTCCAACTATTTCCGTAAAATGTCAGAATATTTAGGAGAGCAAGACGTCACTACTTCCAATGCTGCTGTTGATTTATTAAAGAAAGTGAGAGAACTGAAGGACCAATATTAATCACTGCTAGAATGAACCTGATTCTCAAAGGAGTAAAACTGCAAGTGCAACCTCAGAAAACGACTTCGGTCCATTCATTACAAAAAAAATGCTTCACTCCACTATTGAAGGAATCAACGTGGACGAATTGTTGACCTATTTGGAACGAGAAAACCAACATCCAATGAAGGCCATGATCGGATATAAATTTCCAACTCAGGCCGATCATGTTCATCATTCCAGTATTGAGTTATTGTGTGGAAAATGTGGCAATGTATTAAATATTTCATCATTGGAAGGTTCGGAAAGACAATCGGTGATGCTAATTAAACAAATGGATCGACCGTTTATTTCAATTCAAATCATGAATGAGGACACTCCACTGCAGCAACAATCATTTCCTTTGGAATTTGAGAATTGTCCAGAATCATTCTTCTAAAGAATTGATCATTCAATGCAAAAATTGTAGCCTTCAAATAGGAACAGCATCATTTCCGAACCATCAAAAGAAGAAGGCTAAAATGTTGAATTCACAACAGAATGATGAATCTCAATCCATTCCTCTCAATGGAAAATTATTTTGGAAAGATATTTTCAGTCAAGAAGGATGTGAATATTTAATTCTTCTTCCCAAAACTATGGATCTCTCTCACATTCCATTTTCAACAAAGCAATCGGTCAAGGCAAGTCAACAAGCAGCTCGTGAACCTAATGAGATTCGTTTTAAAAAAATTATTCAACGACAGTTGGAAGAAGAAGAGAGAATTCGCAATGCATCTACACAAGATCCAATGACAGCAACTGAAAATTATCAAGCTCATGTCAGAGAAGCAGAAATTGCTAAACGTAAAATGTTTAAACGTTTGCATAATTTGAAAATGAGTGATCACGATTTGGAGACGGCCTGGGAACAATGGCTCTTTTGGTATCGAGATAAAAAGATTCCAACATTGTATAACAAGTTTAATCAATTATTGAAAGATGAATTTCATGGAAATGTGAGAGCTGTTCGAAAAATTGAAGAAGTCATTAAGGGACACATTTTGGAAAATTTGCAATTACATCCATCCGTGTTAAAATTGAAATGTTTAGTAGAAAGTGACAATGAAAATGACAAGTTTGAATTGAGATCAATTCTTCACAAGAGAATTTTCAATGAGACCTTGATACCGTCTCCATCGTTTGAGATTTTACCATACTCGAGCTCTGTGTGTGAAGAGCACTACAAGGGAAAATTCTTTTGTTTTATTGATTTGGCAAAGGCAAACTTTTCCACATTGAGAACTTTAGATCCTGATATTTTCGGAGCTAGCCCTGAAAGCAACATGACTTGGAGACAGTTTCTCAATAAGGAGACAACTTTTGAGCTCTTCCATAATTTTCACTACACAATTAGACATCCAGTTTTTGGAAAATTGAATCATGGCTTTTCCACACGAAAAATGATTGAAATTGCAGAACATGAACAATTGAACGTCTTGTATAACATGATGAAAAAGCATTTACTGAAAGAACATGCATATTTATTTGAAGAATCTCATTGCTTTGTACCACCCATGCAATGTGCATCTGATGCATTCTTTTTCTGTTTCCATACTGAACAAGATGCCAAGATTGCCTTCGATGCCTTGTGTCAATTCGATTCTGAACTCTATCCCAATGTGAAAGATTTAATTCACTTGACTGTCTTTAAGAATCATTATTATTATTTTTCTGAAAGCAATTCGGATTCGGACATGGAACAACAACGATGGTTTGTCGTGAAAGAAACATTACATTCTCAAGAAGTGTGTGAAGAAAAATTTACTATTTGTGCTGTCCAATTGGAGGATCGACCATTTATTGAAGATCATTTCGAGAGAGCTTTGGCGTTATTTTCAAAAGAATTGTAGACACGACATCGATTTGTTCATCATTATTGGAAGAGTTTCGTTTTGCAGTTGTTGAATCATGACAAACCTATGCGTCAAATACCAATCCATGATCAAGGAAAGTTTGTAACCAGCTTTTCGGTTTACAATTGTAACGTATGCCTGAGCAAATGCTTTCCAAATAGTTCTGCGAGCATGAAATGCATTCCTTCTTTTTCTAATGAATTATTCACACAAATATTCATGTTATACCTTTTTGTGATATTTGTACCCATACCTTTTTTGATCTCAATTTCTTACAAGGGAAGGATAGGGTATTGGTTTTGCAAGTGACTTGTGATCACGGTCCGTTACAACGCAAACCCATTTAAAAAAAATATTCACACGCTCACTGACAGATGGCAGGTCCACGCAATCCCACTGCCGTTGGTGTGGTGTTGGCCTTGTTGTTGTTCGTGAGTCTCACGATCGTGCAAGCCATTCCTCCCAATTTTGTTCCATACTCTGCCTTTGATCCGTACACATCCAACTTTACTACAGTTCCTTGTTCCGTGCCAAATGCCAATCTTGCCAACATTTACAAGAGAACGGTTCAAAAATTGTTGACAAGCTTTACATTGGCCGAACGAGATGATTTATTCCTTTTAAATTCTGTGTTACAAATTTCAAATCCAGCACCAGCTCCACAAGAATTATTAAACAAGTACGCTGAAGATTATGGACACATTCTTCACAATGTGCCACTTGTCGTGTTCGTTCCAACTCAAGTCAGTCAATTGTCAAAATTGATGAGAGCTGTGAAAGTCAATAATTTTGGAGTTCAAGATGATGATGATGAGAATTCGAGTTATAGACATCACGAATTGTTTGCAAGAATTAAAGTAGTGATTAGAGGTATGTTCATGATGATGATGATGTAATTGTTCGTTACAATTATATTTTGGACAATATTTATAATGATTATAAATTTTTAAAATGACCTATCGGTTTGGAAATGATTCCGTGTGGTGTTTTCGTTTTTGAATTGGGTATTATGATCATCTCCTGTTATCTTTCCTTTTATATCCACACTTGCTAATTTGGAATTGAAAAGGTGCTGGAGGCAATGTCGAAGCAGCTGCTCAAGTTCTTAACATTGCCGATCATGAACAAGCTGTTCCTCCTCTCTACATTCTCATTGATATGGGTTCACGTTTCACTCAAGTTTCTGATACCATTCAAGTGTCAGCTGCCAATCAAAAGTCAATTTGGGCTCTTGCTGGAGCTCAATGGGTGTCTGTGGTCAGAGCTGCAGCTGCTCATAATTTAAGACCTTTGGTAGTTCCAGATTATTTGGGAATTACTTTGGGAGGATCCTTGTCGATTGGTGGAATTGGAGCTGATTCTGTTTTTAGGTACGTATGAAAGAGGTTGTCATGGAATCATTATCACCATATATACTTGTTATACACTACTTATTATTTTATGTAAATAATGAAATGGTGTTGATCATGAAATGGACATTTTGGCATTTGACATTTTAGAGGTCCAGCAGCTGCTCATGTCGCAGAATTGGAAATTGTTAAAAGTGATGGTGACGTTGTGAATGTAACCTCTTCCTCAACTCTTTTCAAATCTGTTTTGGGTGGAATGGGTCAATTTGGAATTATTTCTCGTGTTCGATTGAATTTAGAACCAAATAAGGCAATGACTAGAATTTACCATTATGTGAGCACTGACTTTGATGTTTTGGTGAAGGCTGTCGATCAGTTACAAATTGCCAATTCTCAAAACGAAGTTGTCCAAACCATTCAAACTTTCTTTGTTCCAGACACTTTGTTTTATATCCAAATTTGGGCATTGAATGGAAGAACCACTTATCGATCTCCTCAAGAACAAGCTCAAGTTGAGGCATTATTAGCAAAGAATTTAACCTATGTCTTCATGTTAGAGATTACCACACGATTTGATACTACTGCTCCAACTATGGAAGAAATTGCAGCATTGACAGGTCAGAATTTTGACTTGTCAGTAGTCGATGACATGCCAACCAATATTTGGGATGAACGTTTATTCTATTTCACCATTCCAGGTTTAATTGCAAGTGGACAATGGTTTGAAAGACATCCATGGATGAATATTTATCTTGCTGGAGATGTCTTTGAAAGAGATCCACAAACTCAACAAAGTGATTTCGATCGATTGATTGCTGACTGGACCCCACAAAAGACAACTGGATTTGGACACGTTGGATTATATCCATTATTGAATTCCCAATTCAACAGTGTTCCATTTGTGTCCATTCCAAAAACTTCGAAATGGTCTTATTTATTAGTTATTGGAAGAGATGAACCCACAAATACCGATGCTGGAATTAATTATCAAGTGTATGACAATCGAAGAATTTGGGATTTATTTACCAAGACAACCATGTTCCAATTGGATCGACCACGTGCCACCTTGTATGCTGACAATGTCATTCCCAATTTCAGAAGAAGTGATTGGAAAGCCAATTTTGGAAATTGTGTTTGGAGAGATTTTGTAGCTGCCAAACGAGAATTTGATCCAAAGAGAGTGTTTGCTGATCCAAGAAATATTTTCAAGCATTGAATTTTTTTGAAAATAAATTTATAAATTGCTCAGCAATGCGGAAACAGTTTTTGCAATGGAGGTCGTTAAATGTCGAAATTGATAAGCTCACATTTCGGTAGGAGTTTTGATAACATTGCTTCCAATTTCTCGGTTGACAATCCACTTGTGCTTAAATGCTCCAAATTTTGAAAAGTTCTGCCAATTAACATGACATCATCAAAGCAAAGAGTATTAAAAGGTAATGACAAAACGGTTAAATTTTTCAAATGTGGACTGTTGCACATGGCTTGAATTCCCACTGAGGAAATCTTATTGAAACCAACATCCAAATCGGTGAGTTGGGAAAATGATGAACTATTTGCTAAAAAGCTAAGCCCATCATTTCCAATTTTGCAACTTGATATCTGAAGAGTTATCAGATTGGGAAATGATGCTGTTGATAATAAACGTGCTCCTTCACATCTAATTTTGTTATATTCCAATGAGAGTTCTTGCAATGTACAACAGAAAGGGCTTGATATTAGAGATGATATGCCTCTTTCTGAAATGTTGTTATTATCAACAAAAAGTGTTGTCAAGTTTTTCATAAAATTGCTTTGACAAATGGCAATCATTCCCTCATCACCAATCTCACAATTGATTAAAGATAATTCCTTCAAATGTTGCATTATGTTGCTTTCAGCAATCAGTTTTGCTCCAACTGATGTGATGGAATTGTTATCAAGTTGCAATATGGTCAGATTATTGATGTTTGACATCTTGGAAGTCATAAACGAGATGCCATTAACCCCAATACCATTCAGTGAAAGATTTAAATTTGTGACATTTCTCACAAGATCGCTTTCACACAAATCGAATACTCCATCGTTAGTAATAGCATTTTGGTCAAGGTCTAATGTTGTAATATTTTTTAAATATGGGCTTTTAGAAAGCGATAGAACTTCTTTTGTTCTAATATTACAGCCGTTGAGAGTTAGAATACTAAGATTTCTCAAAATGGAGCTGTTAGCAATTGCACTCACACCTTCTTCACCAATTCCATTATTACCCAAGTTTAAATTGGTTAAAGTGCTCATTGATGCACATTTAGCGAGTATTGTAACTCCTTTCTTGCTCACATTACAATCACATAAATCTAAATAAGTGAGATTTTTGATGTATTCACTGTTACAAAGTGATTGAATGATATCATCTCCATGTTTCGTAGACAAGCTCAATTCACGCAATTCTTTCATGTGAACACAATTTGCAATCACATCACAACAATCTGAATCAAGTGTTTTGGATTCATCGTGTAAATATAATGTTGTCAATGATTTGAAACATCCTGAAGCAAGTTCAGAAATATCTTGTTTCTCAAGACCAAAATCTTCCAGAGTTAACGACTTGATGTTGTTAAATTTGTTACTTCTTGTAATTAACTGGATGATTTCCCTTGCTTTTTCAGTATCTTTGTTGCAAATAGAGAGTTCAGTGAAATTGAATGTATTTGGATGGGATGTAATCATTTTCAATGTTGAAAGAGTCGTACTGTGATGGTCATACAATGACAAAGTCATGGGAATGAAAAGTACTCGTTCATACCAATATTTGGAAACTCTCATACAAGTGTGAACGAGGAAACTCTGATCAAGAAATGTTAGAATTTGAAACAACATGTCATCACCAAGTACATGGTCCAATCTAGTAATAGATTTTTCGTTGTTGTGTTCGGCGTCAACCATGGGACTTTTCTCAATCATGAAATTTGAAGATTGTTTCTTCTTTTTTGTGGCAGTTTCATGATTAATGACTGATTTTCTTTCTTCTTCATTCGACCAACAACATTCCAACTTTCTTTTGTTTGTGCTTTCTGCAACAATTTCGTTGGAATGAATATTTTCTATATTTGTCTTTTCATCAAATAATTTTCTTCTTTCAATGATCCATAAATTTAAACATATTGAAACATGTTCCGATAATTCATCTTGGAGATGATCATCATCCTGTAATTTCTCGGTGTGAATCATCATCGGGACAGAAATTTGTTGCAAACAAAATGGACAATTCCGAACAGATTCTTTTGTTTTCAAATTATTCATTGAGTTACGAATGCCAATCAATCGTTGTTCATCTTCATCATCTCTTGTTGTTGATTTCTTGTTGGAGTGAGGATCGAATTCTTGTTGCAACATTTTTTTTTGCACTAGAGAGATGTTAGATTTGCTGGTCGAGTGTTTGTTTTAGTAATTCTCTTCATGTTAAGTTTACCAACACTCGATTCTTTCCTGTAGGGGCTGTATATAAATATATACACAGATACTGAAAGCAGTAGTTTTGGCGTCCTTAATTCCTATCCACAGACTTACAGGTCTGCACAACAAAGGTATGGAAGAAAATATTACTCCATACATGGTCCAAGCTTTCTACAACCTCAAACCAGGTGGAACACTCTTTATTGCTGCAACTACCAGCACAAATTTACCTCAAAAACAAATTGCCAATATGGGATTTGTCGACCAAACCAGTTCAGACCATGATATGATTCGAATTGACAATGGAAAAGGTACTACCAACATTTGCATTTACAAATTCAAGAAGAGAAAGACTGACGTCATCTATTCTCTCGAAGAGATGAAAATTAATATTGAAATGCATCTGTGTTGAGGTTAGGTTGTTGGAGATGAGTCTAATTCGGGAGCCTGTTAAACTCTATCAATAAACCCCTCGTTTCAAGTGTAGAATTCTAACTTTTCATTTCAGAACATTAAAGAAAGCAGATGGACTAATGGGAGGAATGTAGACCATGCTTCCCATCACTTGCGGGAGTAGAGAAGGTTCCTCACTTGTAAATGCTACACAATTTCCTTTCATGACATGATCTTTCAACTCGAACTGATTTCTTACTAAATACACATTCTTGGAACAGACAGAGCAAAATTGGACATCTGGTAAATTTTGAGAGGATCCTTCGTTGAGTTCTTCATATTTCAAAGGACATTTGTAAATCCATTCACAGTTCTCAATAAATAAATCATCTCCTTTGGGTGTTGAGGTGTGTCTTGAAATGAGTTCAAAAGGTGCTGAGGAAGTTTGAGGTTTTAAAGGAAGCATTTGAGGAGTGTAAAGTTTCAAATGTTGAATGCGTCGTTTCAAAACATGCATCCAATTTTTCACATTCAATGATTTTTCAAAATTTGGAAAATAATAACACACCAAACTTTTCCAAACTTGTTGTTGAGTGGCTTGAAACAAATCATTTTCATCATTTAAAAGTTGAGATTTGTGTTCATGATTGGTTGAATCTCCGAAATGCATTTCCAAAGTCTGTGGTGATACTTGAACAACATTATGTGGACTACGTTTCAATTTTATATTCTGATTAAATAAAAGTTGCAACAAGATGGAATGACATGATGCAAAAGATAACAAATCTTTCAATGATCCGATAAATTGTGCCATGTGTAACCATAATTCTGACGGAATGGACACTATTGCTGCACGAGCGGTTTTGGACCTTGTAGAATTTTTCTTTGTCGAGTCCAAATGAGAGAGATCATCATCGACTTGTTGTTTGGAATTTCGAGAAAGTTTAAACGAGAAGAAGGGCATTTTTTTTTGGTGTAATTGCGAAAAGTGTGAGTTAATGAACTCGCTCTGTAAATGGGTTTTTTAAAGTATTTCTTCTTCCTTTCCGTGTTCTTTACATGTTCCAACACAAGCAAATCACCAAGTGATTGCCATGCAATAGAGGTCAATAAATGGGTTTGACCAGGAAAGCATATTGGAAGATTTCAACAAGATGAAGACAAAGCGCTTTTTGATTTGGTACTCCTCTATTTGTAACTCCTTTTTGGACTAGCCCTGATATCGGTACTAAAGTGTGCGTTAGGAGGAATGTAGACCATGCTTCCCATCACTTGTGGAGATGGTAGAGATAGTAAAAGTGACTCACTTGTAAATGCCACACAATTTCCTTTCATGACATGATCTTTCAAGTCGACCTGATTTCTCACTAAATACACATTCTTGGAACAGACAGAACAAAATTGAACCTTTGGTAAACTATGAGAGGATCCTTTGATGACGTGAGGTCCTTCATTAAGTTCTTCATATTTCAAAGGACATTTGTAAATCCATTCACAGTTCTCAATAAACAACTCATCTCCTTTGGGTGTTGAGGTTTGTCTTGAAACAACTTTAAAAGGTTTTGAGGAAATTTGAGGTTTTAAAGGAAGCAAATGAGGAGTGTAAAGTTTCAAATGTTGAATGCGTCGTTTCAAAACATGCATCCAATTTTTCACATTCAATGATTTTTCAAAATTTGGAAAATAATAACACACCAAACTTTTCCAAACTTGTTGTTGAGTGGCTTGAAACAAATCATTTTCATCACTTAAAAGTTGAGAGTTGAGTTCGTGATTGGTTGAAACTCCAAAATGCATTTCCAAAGTCTGTTCTGATATCTGAACAACATTATGTGGACTGCTTTTCAATTTTCTATTCTGATTAAATAAAAGTTGCAACAAGATGGAATGACATGATGCAAAAGATAACAAATCTTTCAATGATCCGATATATTGAGCCATGTGTAACAATAATTCTGACGGAATGGAAACAAAACCATTCACCGTGAACTCTTTGTTTCCAATCACTACATCAGCTGTTTCGGAACTCGTAGAATTTTTCTTCGTCGAGTCCAAATGAGAGAGATCATCATCGACTTGCTGTTTGGAATTTCGAGAAAGTTTGAACGACAAGAAGGGCATTTTTTTTACAGTGATGAAAAGTGTGTTAGTGAACTCTCGCTCTGTATGGATTTATAAAGTATTTCTTCCTTTCCATGTTCTTGACATGTTCTAACCCTAACATATCGTTTTCGCCAGAGACAACATGACATTTCATCGATAAGGAACAATCAACGTAAGGCTGTTGGTTGCTGAGGAAAGCGAGGATTATATGCAATACTTCCCATCAAACGAGGAAATACTTGTTTTGGTTCGCTTGTATATGCCACACAATTTCCTTTCAGAACATGATCTTTCAACTCGACCTGATTTCTCACTAAATACACATTCTTGGAACAGACAGAACAAAATTGAATGTCTGGTAAATTTTGAGAGGATCCTTTGATGATGTGATTCCCTTCGTTGAGTTCTTCATATTTCAAAGGACATTTGTAAATCCATTCACAGTTCTCAATAAATAAGTCGTCTCCCTTTGGAATAAATAAATCAGTGAAAGAAACAAGTGTAAAATGTGCTGAGGAAATTTGAGGTTTTAAAGGAAGCAATTGAGGAGTGTAAAGCTTCAAATGTTGAATTCGTCGTTTCAAAACATGCATCCAATTTTTCACATTCAACGACTTTTCAAAATTTGGAAAATAATAACACACCAAACTTTTCCAAACTTGTTGTTGAGTGACTTGAAACAAATCATTTTCATTCATCAACATTTGGTTCCATTGAGATTTATCAACTTTTCCAAATTTCATTTGCAAAGCAGTTGGTGACATTTGTAAAATGAATTCACTGCTGGTCGTTGTTTTCAATTTTAAATTTTGATTAAATAAAAGTTGCAACAAGTGAGAATGACACAATGCAAAAGATAGCAAGTCTTTCAATGATCCGATATATTGTGCCATGTGCAACCATAATTCTGGCGGAATGGAAACTCCTCCATGCAACAATAATTCATTTTGAGCAATGGTCGTGACATTCGAAACATTTGCATGATGATCACGATCATCATCGACTTGTTCTTTGGAATTTCGCGGCATTATTTTTTTGGTTTGACAATGTCAAATGTGAAAACTCAACAATCCAAAGCAATATTTTAAATCTAAATTCTTGAGATTTTTGATATAGCCACTCATATAACATCGTATCCACGAAATTGACACTCTTGCAAAATATGGTAGCATCAATTACATTATTCAAAGGATGTAACTTAGTCTTGAAATATTGAGTTCTAGTCCACGTCAAGCAACGTGACCCAATTATTAATCTCGCAATAAGGTAATAGTTTCGACAAGCTCTCCAGTTGAGAGGTGGAAATACTTGTGTGTAATTCATGCAAATTGTGTAATGTCCTACCAATAAGCTCTACATCATCGTCGCTGAGACTAATGTTACGCAATGATAAAAAGGACAAATTTTTCCAATATGGACTGTTGCAGATGGCTTGAATGCCTTCGGAGGAAATATCATTGAAACCAACATCTAAATGGGTGAGTTGACATAATGCTGAACTATTTGCCATAACAATCAGTCCATTGTTTTCAATGTTGCAACTTGGTAAACTTAGAGATTTCAGTTTGAGAATTGATGCCATGGATAACATGCGTGCTCCTTTTTCTGAAATGGTGTCACTATCTACAATGAGAGACGTCAAGTTTTTCAAAAATTCACTGTTGCAAATGTCCACTATCCCCTCATCACCAATGTAACATTTGAGGAAAGAAATTGCCTTCAAGTGTTGCATTACTCTGCTTGAAGCAATCATTTTTGCTCCATGTAATGTGATATAATTAAGGTCGAGATGTAACGTGATCAGGTGAACCATTTTTGAAGTAAGCTTCGTTAAAAATGAGATACCATTCTCTGTGATACCATTACTTGCCAAATTTAAATGCGTAATATTTCTCGAAAATTCACTTTCACATATTGATAACACTCCTTCATCTTCAATATTATTATTTTCAAGATCTAACTTGGTAATATTTGTTAAATAGGAGCTTTTAGACAGTAATTTAGCCCCTGTTTTTCCGATACGACAAGCGTTGGCGTTCCAATGTTGAAAAATCTTGGCTGAGAGATTTAAAACTCGTAAATTTCGTAAAACGGTACTATTTGCAATTGCTGCCAAACCCTCTTCACCGAATGTATACAATACTTCCAGCTCCGTTAAATTGTTCATGGAAGCACAATTACTGAGCATTATAATTCCATTCTTACTCAAATTGCAACTTTGTAAAATAATCGAATCAAGCTTTTTGATGTATTCACTGTCACATAGCGCTCGTATCAAGTCATCTCCAAACTTTGTCGTTAATCTCAGCCTACGTAATTCTTTCATGTGAACGCTATTTGCAATAATGTCAGCACTATCTACATCAACTTTTTTGTGGGCATCGCATAATTCGCTGTTCACAATGACTCTGTCACCATAATTTGTATCTAACATATGATAAGGATGATACAAACTCAGTTTGGTCAAAGTCTTGAAATATCCTGAAGTAATTTCAGAAATATCTTCTTTTCCAAACACAAAATTCTCGAGACTTAACGAATTGATATTCCTGAATTTGGGACTTGTTGTAATTGATTTTATAATTTCGGTTGCACTCACGACGTAGCTTGGGCTTTTGATAGAGATCTCTGTCAAGTTGAACGTCCGTTGAGAGCAGTATGTAATGTTTTGTAATTTTGATAAAAGAGTGGCCATGTCATGTCCGCGTATTGATAACGACCATGGAATTGAAAGCACTCGTTCATACCAATATTTTGAAACAATCATGCAAGTGTGGACCCGGAATTTATGATCCAGAAACGTTAAAATTTGATGCATCATATCATCACCAAGTATGCAGTCCAAATTGTCATGAGAAGTTTGTTCAACATTAACATTGATTTCCGGAGTGAGTGAGGTGGTGGTTGTATTAGTAATGCAGCCCAAGTTTATATTGCTGTTCAATAAGTTCATAATGTGGTTACTACGAGTATTGTTGCTTGAGTGGTTGTTGTGGTGATGAGAAATATTTGGATGATTATTTTTTTGTTGTAAGTGGAGTTGAATAACACTTGTCCAGATACTTTAAAATTCCCAATTATGAAGCTCACATTTTGGTAGGAGTTTTGATAACATTGCTTCCAATTTCTCGGTTGACAATCCACTTGTGCTTAAATATTTCAAATTCTCGAAGGTTCTGCCAATTAACATGACATCATCAAAGCAAAGAGTATTGTCAGCCAACGATAAATCGGTCAAATTTTTCAAATGTGGACTGTTGCACATGGCTTGAATTCCCTCTGAGGAAATCTTATTAAAACCAACATCCAAATCGGTGAGTTGGGAAAATGATGAATTATTTGCAATAAAACAAAGTCCATCATTTCCAATTTCGCAACTTGATATCTGAAGAGTTATCAGATTGGGAAATGATGCTGTTGATAATAAACGTGCTCCTTCATCTCTAATGTCGTTAGTTGTCAATGAGAGGTCTTGTAATGTACAACAGAAAGGGCTTGATATTAGAGATGATATACCTCTTTCTGAAATAGCATTACCATCAACAAAAAGTTTTGTCAAGTTTTTCATAAAATTGCTTTGACAAATGGCAATCATTCCCTCATCACCAATCTCACAATTGATTAAAGATAATTCCTTCAAATGTTGCATTGTATTGCTTTCAGCAATCAGTTTTGCTCCAATTGATGTGATGGAATTGTTATCAAGTTGCAATATGGTCAGATTATTCATGATTGACATCTTGGAAGTCATGAATGAGATGCCTCTATCTCCAATACCATTCAGTGAAAGATTTAAATTTGTGACATTTCTCAAAAGATCGCTTTCACACAGCTCCAATATTCCATCGTCAGTAATAGCATTTTCACAAAGGTCTAATGTTGTAATATTTTTTAAATATGGGCTTTTGGAAAGTGATCGAGCTTCATTCGTTGTAAGTTGACATTCGTTGAGAGTTAGAATACTAAGATTTCTCAAAATGGAGCTGTTTGCAATTGCACTCACACCTTCTTCACCAATCCCATTATTACCCAGGTTTAAATTGGTTAACGTGCTCATTGATGCACATTTAGCGAGTATTGTAACTCCTTTCTTGCTCACATTACAATTATTTAAATCTAAATAAGTGAGATTTTTGATGTATTCACTGTTACAAAGTGATTGAATGATATCATCTCCATGATTCGTAGACAAGCTCAATTCACGCAATTCTTTCATGTGAACACAATTTGCAATCACATCACAACAATCTGAATCAAGTGTTTTGGATTCATCGTGTAAATATAATGTTGTCAATGATTTGAAACATCCTGAAGCAAGTTCAGAAATATCTTGTTTCTCAAGACCAAAATCTTCCAGAGTTAACGATTTGATGTTGTTAAATTTGTTGTTTCTTGTAATTAACTGGATGATTTCCCTTGCTTTTTCAGTATCTTTGTTGCAAATAGAGAGTTCAGTGAAATTGAATGTATTTGGATGGGATGTAATCATTTTCAATGTTGAAAGAGTCGTACTGTGATGGTCATACAATGACAAAGTCATGGGAATGAAAAGTACTCGTTCATACCAATATTTGGAAACTCTCATACAAGTGTGAATGAGGAAACTCTGATCAAGAAATGTCAGAATTTGAAACAACATGTCATCACCAAGTACATGGTCCAATCTAGTAATACAGTTTTCGTTGTTGTGTTCGGCGTCAACCATGGGACTGTTCTCAATCATGAAATTTGAAGATTGTTTCTTCTTTTTTGTGGCAGTTTCATGATGATTCATGACTGATTTTCTTTCTTCTTCATTCGACCAACAACATTCCAACTTTCTTTTGTTTGTGCTTTCTGCAACAATTTCGTTGGAATGAATATTTTCTATATTTGTCTTTTCATCAAATAATTTTCTTCTTTCAATGATCCATAAATTTAAACAAATTGAAACATGTTCCGATAATTCATCTTGGAGATGATCATCATCCTGTAATTTCTCGGTGTGAGTCATCATCGGGACAGAAATTTGTTGCAAACAAAATGGACAAATCCGAACAGATTCTTTTGTTTTCAAATTATTCATTGCGTTACGAATGCCAATCAATCGTTGTTCATCTTCATCATCTCTTGTTGTTGATTCCTTCATGGCTGATGAGCGGTTATTGTTGCTACTGGTCTCATCCACTTTCATTTTTTTTTACGCAACTTTCAATAAACACAAAAATCGAATTTACTTCTTTTTCTTCACAAAGCTTACTTGTAAATCATTTTCAGTGGCCAATTGTTTTGGAGTTTGTCCAGTCTTATCTTTCGTTGATGGATTGGCTCCGCTCTGATATAAATACCCACATAATTTCTCTGCAATATTCTTTTCTTTGAGTTTACAAGCTAAATGGAGAGGAGTTTCACCCTTCTCGTTTTGAACATTCATACTATCCTTATGAAGAAGTGTCATTAATAAATTCACTGTTTTCACATTTGAATTTTGCACGGCCAAGTGGAGTGGAGTATTTCCGAGAGCATCTTGTTCTTTCATCATGGAGGCACAAGCACTTGGATTTAAAAAGGCAAGTCTGTTAATGAGAGCATCAGTTCCTTGAACGGCAGCATGATGAAGAATGTTTTGTTTCTTGTCATCTCTTGAAGTTGGTCCAAATACTACTGCCGGATTGGTATTCAATAGAATATATTCGACAATATTTAAATGTCCATTGGCAGCAGCTCTCATGATTGGAGTTCTTCCGAATTTGTCCTTTGCGTTCAATAGGACCTTATTTCCTGTTTGTGACGAGGATGCCATGCCAGAACTCGAGTTGGAGGCCTCAGCAGATTCACTCACTAGGAATTTCACAGTCTCAATTCGGCCAAATTCACAAGCAATATGTAAAACAGTGCTCGAATCGCTTGTTTTGAAATTGTAATCGCCTTCAAACATGCTACACATGGCCTTTGCTGCTTTGAAACATTTTCTTGCGCTTTCTAAATCTCCAATTTCTTCATCTTGACAAGCTCTTGTAATTAATAATTGTAAAGGACTCTTTCCATACTTGTCTCGAACATTAATTTTGGCTTTCAATTGACAAAGAATTGTGATGGCCTCAGCGGCTCTGTGACTGCAAGCCCAATGAAGTGGTGACGATTCAAATTCATCAGGAGCAGCTATATTACACTTGTATTTTGAAACTAGAACGAAAATTAAGGAAGATCGATCATATTTGGCAGCTTGATGAATGAGGAACGATCGAGGTTTTTCCTTATCTCTCAATTTTCTAATTTCCTTGTCTGTCCATGAATAAAATTCTTGCATTCCTTCTGTGGCTTCACTTTTTGCTTTGGCACACATCTCGCTGTATTGTGTGACAAATTCTTCAAATTTATCAGAACTCGTGTGATCGTCATATTCAGGATTTTTCACAAATTTGTATAAAACATAGTGATACATCATGGCAGGTTTGATTTGATTCAATTCCGTGATACTGGCAAACATGGAGTCTTCTGCTGTGTTGGCTGGTTCATTATCTTGATACATGTCTTCGGTTGTGGCTGGAGTGGCTGCAGCAGCATCATTCTCTCCATTCGACACAAAGGAAGGAGTGATTGAAGCAACTGTTGGAGAATCTTCAAAGCTCTGTGTGAAATGTCACGTCATGGTTGTGTGCCGATAATACAGTTGACATGTTGTGATCCATGAAAATCATTCATCACAATGTACGAAAATTATTATTTGTCGATGGTGATGATGCGTGTGTTGTGTGTTGTATGAAATTGGTCCAGGATCACAAGAATGAAAACAGACAACATCAATGTGTTTTAGAATGAAAACATCCAAGATCAATAATTCATTGTGAAACAGACAAAAAACATACCGTTGTAGAATTTGCTGAATTCAAAATGACTTGCAATTCGGATTTTTGTGATCCAGCTGGACTTTCCAACATGACCACTCCACTCTCACTCGATGAAGACGTGCTCGACAAGACATCATTATTATCATATGGCGCCACTGACAAGGTGACACCTCCTCCATTATTATTCTTACTAGTACCTGTCAATACACCAGTACCTCGTGGTGTGGAATTTCCTCCTGAAGTCGTTGTTGTTGACGACAAGACTTCTTCATCAATACTCGAGATGGATAAATTTCGATGAAAAGTTCCTTCTAAATTACCTGTTGAAACACTTTGAGTGTAATAATGTCCACCCACCACAGAAGCATTTGCTGTGAGTGGAGTTGTAGGAGTGGAATATTCCTCTTGTTGTTGTTCCAATGATGATGATGATGAAGAAGATGGTTGATGATGAGCCTGTAACGCGTGCGGCAATGAAGCTCTATTTCCAGAAGAGGCTTTCGAGAGAGCCGATGCTGATTTGGCTGTCAAAGTTCCCGACTTGTTCTTCTTCTTTTTCGTGGCTGCTTTGGCGAGTGATGAAAATGTTTGTTTGAAAGCGTTCCATTGAGAAGTTGGATAAAAGTCTTCGTCTTTGACTCCGATTTTGGGTCTTGCGGTACCAGATGATGAGTTAGAATTGGAGGAACGAGTGGACATTTTGGTGTTGTCGTAATGAATGGCTGTTATATGGATTGGTTGTTATATTGTTGTTGGCAAATGATGAAAGAACTCGTTGTTGTTGTTGCAGCGAGTGGAAGGGTGTTGATTGATTCGCTTGTTGTTTTTCTGGACGATGTGTGTTGTTGAGATGATCAGAACAAGAGTCCAGTAGGGAGAATGGTTGGGCAATTTTTATGGAGTGGGAATAATTCGCGTCATGTGTCAATCATGTGATCTGAAAAAAAGAATACGCTTCTGTAAATTGATGGTGTTTACCTTACTTGTTCCATGCACGAATTGTTAATGATTGCTAATGAACATGATTCCCTATGAACAAAAGAGTGAGGGTTTTCACATTCTTGTCGTTGTGAGATATTGACCTCTGTTGTTTACAATTGACTCGCAAAGGACTGTCTCATAGGAGCTTGTATTTCCAAGACGATCTGTTTTCCACTCATGAAAGACGCAAACAGTGGATGAATGCAATTCAAAGAAAAATGCAAAGTTCCGAGTCTTTTCACTCTAAAATTCAAGTCATTGAAATTCCTTCTTCATCATCATCTCAACAAAAGAAATACCTCATTCCTAATACATCGGGATTTGATGGAATAAATTCAAACAATCAATTGCTACTTTCTGATGATGTTTCTCAACAAACCAAGCAAGCCTTTTATAACATTGTGAAGGCTTTCCAACACAAAATTCCCAATTTTACCATTTCATGGATTGAGCACGTGAGTGTAACGATTCGGAACGAGGAAGATTACTCGAAATGTTTATCCATCTTGATGAAAGAATTTAATTATCATTTACCATCTTGTAAATTGCAAACCTCTTTTGAAGGAGGATTACAAGATCAAGTGTTAGTTCAATTACAAGCTGTATGTTCAGTGCCGTCATCATCATCATCACTCTCTGATTCAGAAAAGAATGAATTAATTTCAAACACCGAATCCGACACAACAAGAATCACTCGTTTTCATGTTGGTAATCGTTATAGTGAAAGTGCTGTCTATGGCAACGTTCTCTACATTAGTGGACAAGTTCCCGATGATGATGGAAAGAAGGATATTGAAGGTCAAACTGAGGAAGTACTTGCAGCATTGGATCAACGATTGAAGGAAGCAGGAACCGATAAGACCAAACTATTGATGGTTCAAATCTTTCTTGCGTCCATGTCTGATTTTGATGGCATGAATAAGGTGTGGGATCAGTGGGTTCCTAAAGGTCATGCACCACCACGAGCAACTGTGGAGGCCAAATTAGCACGCTCATATTGGAGAATTGAAATTGTTGCCACTGCAGCGTTGTAAGATGGCGACATGTGTGGCCACACGAAGACGTTTTGAAACGAATGATGAGGAGGGTATGTTTGATGTGAGTTTGGTGTGTGTAAATGTTTACATCTTTGTGTGATAAAGGTGAAAAAGTTTGAGTAGCAACTGTGAACTCGGTCCTTTTGATCTCCTTTTGGGCATGAACTTGCTTTGGAGCTCACAAATAAGAGCAGCGAGAGAAACAACAAGAAATCAAAACAAAAAAAAATATTTGAACAACCAACAACTCATTGCACACTAATTCGGTCAACAACATGTCAACGCCTCCAAACAAACTCTCAGTCAAGGTTGAAGGTAATCAACTCATCTTTTACAATCCCAATAACGAAGTCGAAGATAATATTGGAGTAACCTTCCACAGAACACTTCGTATTCCAGACGATGGCAAGATCTATCCATTGCCACCATCATTGGGTTCCTTTCCAGTGAAACGAGTCGATGATTATCTCGATCGAGTGCCAGAAGCTTGGAAGAAACAAGGAGGAGTTTTCATTCCTCTCTATCAACGAGAAGCCATGTGGTTAGAATTTATGAATTTCAATTCGGAATATCCTCATGCTTTGAAAATTGCTGTCGGAAAAGTAAATGCCTTATCGGGAGAAACTTGGGATGAACAAATCAAACAAAGAAATGTTCAAGATTATGTAGTCACACCATTGCAACCATGGTTGGATGGTATCAATGCAGGAGATGGATACATTAAGCAATTTGTGGCCATGCCTCTCGGAGGTGGTTACACAGTTGAAGGTCAAGTGACAGGTGAGGAAAAAGTGGGTGGTACACAAATTATTGCCTACGCACCACATCATGACAAACGTTTGAAACAATTCCCATCGAGAACTGTCACCACTCTTCCTTCTGATTCAAAACCAAAACAATCTGGTTTTGGCTTTTTCTCCAAATCAAAGAAAGATACTGCAATTCAACCACCTTCACAACCTCCAAAACCATACTCTTTTGCTCAACCATGTTCGGCAAGCTCCTGCTTACCGCCACCACCTCCATCAGTACTTTCATCATCGTGTTCTACAACTACGTCGTCCTATGTAATCCCACCTCCTATGGTCAATAGTCCAATGCCACAGTGTGAATCCGCGTCAAGCAACTATGATATGCTTGATGTATGTTGTGCAACGGAATCCTCCATGCCAATGCCACGATCATCTTCTTCATCATCCTCAATCCACAACCAAGTGAAATTAGAATCAAAGAAGAAGCGAAAATCAGAAAATAGCCAAGCCAAAGAATTAGGTCTTGCAGCAGGTGGTAAAATGAAACAACAAATTATTGAAGACCCTTATGGTTATTCCTTCTGGGATGAATCGACAAAATCAAGAATTTTCATTCACATTGTCAACAGTGAAATGTACAAGGAAATAACTGGTGAGGAAGTTCCTCCAACACCTATTACTGCTCAGACCTATTCCAGTTACAATTATCCATGGTTTGATTTCTACAATGAAGATGTTGGCTCTGTTGGAAAGAGTAACATTTTGAGTCAAGTTAAAACTGTTAAGGAAATTGATCAAGAGAAATATGCTTGGCCTCAACAAAACGATTCCTCAGTAACTATCAATAATGTGACCACATATAAGGGTACTTTTAATAAGAATGATGTGAGAGATGGAGATTGGTAATGAAGTGTCCACATGAATCGTGTATTGCCATTCCAACAGTGTAAATAAATCATTCGTGCCAAAATGATTTTGACAGTATCAGAGACAATGACATAATTGTGGTGAATTAATTGCCTGTGAACAAAAAAAAATGCTCTCTGGCACAAGGCTTATTTTGACGGATCTTGCGCCCAACACTCACGCACGTTCATCGGGCCATTTGGAAAATAATTACAGCCATGATGATGAAAAAAATCAAAGTTTGTACACAAAATTACAAATCAAGATGAGAAATTTCAAGATCAGAAATTTACCATTTGCAATGAAATCGGAAATGATCAGAGGCTTTTTTCTTGATCCTAAAGAACAAGAGCATGGAATAACTCCCTGTGATATTGGAGACGTTGTTATATCATACAATTTGAATTGTATTTTAGTGAGCCGATGCAATAGTGCCAGAATTGTTGTTTTTGATTTGGCAACCAAAGAATTTCAATGTTTTCTAAACGCTCCACGCTCGTCGCCTAGATACATGTGTATCGAGGAAGACAATCAAGGGCATGATACATTGATAATATTTGCCTGTGATCAATGCGTTTTCAAATATGATTTACAGCGTTGTCTGGAGAATGTCAACAAGGTGGAATGGCGAAAAATTTGGGAAAGCGATCATTGTGGATGGCCTCAAGGAATTGCAATTCCTCGGTCTAAAAAATCTTCAGTATATGTTTGTGATATTCTGAGCGATCAGGTGGTTGAGCTGAACGCTTCTAATGGACAACTCTTGTCAAAGTTTCGTGTCGATCGAGCATTTTCCATTACGTTTGCGTATCCAAGCTGTAGAGATCAAAACAAAGAATACATGGTCGTCACAACTGTAGAGAACAACAGTTCCGTTCAAATATTTACTCAATGTAAAGATGATCAAGGACATTGTTCATGGCAAAGTGTCAAGCGCATTGGTAACATTGGTAGTGACCTTGGTTTGTTCAAGAATCCATGTGGAGTCGTTTGTGACAATAAGCATATTATTGTATCGGATTGTGACAATGTAAGAATTCAAGTGTTCTCATTAGACAATTTTGAATTTATTGATTCGTATGAAGTTGTTGACAAGGGATATCCATATGGAGTTTGTTTGGATGGTTCAAGCGGAGAACTTTTCGTGTGTGGAGCTGAGAGTGCCTTTGATGGATAATTGAAAAGACTTTTTTAAAATTGTCCTACTGCTTTCTGAACTTCTTCATAATGGCTCTAACTTTGTTCAAGAAAAAGTTTTGAATAGAAAACATGGCTAAATTGAACAAACTTGATGGTTTCACACAAACCAAAGCCACGAATGAAGCAATTCTAAAAAGCATTCCAAATACCACTACCATGCCAATTGTAAGGCCCAACTCATCCCACTTGTAACCCATATTTTCCATACTCGTAGTTGTGTTATACAAGTGTCTATATCTTTCAAGTTCAATAAGGTAAATATTTTCATGACTGTATGTTAAATAGGAGAGAGCTGGGAAAATATTAATCGGGAAATACATGTCACGAAGTGTTGGAAGAGGAGTTGTAGAACCGCTAAACACATTGAAAATGAATACAATCACTACAGATGTCAATTGTGCAACATTTGGTTTGACAATTATACTAATGAAATAACCCAATCCATACGAAGCCCAATACACCAAAAGCAATGCATAGTAATATTCCAACACGGAGGCGAGTGGTGCAACTGTCGTGTAGTAAATGGTCAAGAACACAATGGGTGCAAAAATATTCACAATCAACATGGACATATCCTTGGCCCAAAAGTAACAAAAAGTACTGAGACCTGTTTGACTCTCTCTATAGAAATTCAAATATTCTTTTCCAAATACTCGAAGGGCAGCCATGGATCCCATCAAAGCCATCGAAAGAGACATTAATGCTGAAATGGTAGCAATTGGATCGTCGGCAGGTTGTTTACAAACTTTTTGTAAATCTCCAGGACATTTCTCATAGACATTTGATGGAGGAGGACCTACATACACCTTATTGTAAAAAAGTAACCCTAAAAAGGAAGCACATAGAAAGATGAGTGAAAAATCGAGAACGAGACTTGGTAATCCTCTCAGCAATTGGACTATACTTCGTTTGAAACACATCCAAAATTGTGCAAAGTATGGAAGTCTTGGATTGATGAATTTTCGTTTGGATCTTGGAGTGGGTGTCATGATTTGTGGAGGTTTTGTCATGTAATAATTCAATGCATTACCTGTGGTTGAGGTTGAGTTGACCGAAGTTGACATTGAAGAAGGATTGACCAATGGTGTTGATGTCGTGTTGTCTCTATCAAGAAAACCTCCAATTCCCAAACTTGCACGAGCATTGGTATCATATTTGTGTTTTCTCTCTTCCCAATATTCTGGCAATGAATGAGGATCGAAATTTGGATACTTTTCATTTTCAACCATTCCTGCTGAGATGTCAATAACAAAATCAGCCAAATTAATTCCATTAGGTTTCACAAATTCAAATTCTTTTTCAAAATATTCTTCCACTCGGTCCACAGGTCCTAAATAAATGGTTCTTCCACCCTTTCCAAGAAGCAGTAAAGTATCGAACATGGTAAAAATTTCATATCGAGGTTGATGGATGACTGTAATGACATTGATGCCAGCTCTGGAAATGTTTTGAAGAGCTTCGCAAACTTCTTTGGAACTGGCACTGTCGAGACCACTGGTGGGTTCATCTAGGAAGAGAACAAGAGGAGAGGAGACCAATTCAATACCAACCTAAGGTGTGGTGTTTGAGTTGGCAATGGTAATTTAAATTCGTGTTATTAGATGAATTTAAAAGATAAACATATTCAACTAGACTTACATTCACTCTCTTACGTTGACCTCCAGAAATACCTCTCTTCTCTTGATCTCCAATAACTGAATGTCTCACATCTTCCAAATTTAATACCTTAATGACATCATTCACAATGGCATCAATATCCTTTCTCGACTTTTTAGCGTCCAATCGAGTTCTTGCAGAAAAGTACAACGTCTCTTCGACTGTCATGGTTGGAATCATGATATCATCTTGAGGTACAAATCAATTCTTCGATTGTAATTTGATAATTTTTCCTCCACTCCATTCACAAAAACTTTTCCAACTTGAGTTCCATAATATGCTCGATTGGCCAATGTCGTAATGAATGTTGATTTTCCACATCCTGACAAACCCATCACTGCTGTCAATTGTCCATGTTTGATTTCACCCGTCACACCATGAAGGACTTTCTTTCCTGAACCTCTTAAAATTAGTCCCAAATTTTCAAATCCAATATCCACAGTGAAATTGTCTTGAACAAAACTTGCAGTCGCCATAGAAGATGTCATTAAATCTCTTCTCTGTTTAGCTGAAAATAGAGATGATTTTTCTCCCAATTCTCGTCTCTTTTTTCTTAATTTGGCACTAATTTTCACATACAATTTGAAAGCAATTTCATAAATGACATTGATCATGAAAATTAAAAACAAAATACTTCCAAACAAGATCAATCCTCCAACAGTCATTTGATCCGTACTGCTGCCTTCAGGACACAACGATAAAAACCAAGAACATTCACTTGGACGAATCGAACCTGGGCGCAGAAATATCCGACTGGACAAATAATTTTCACAGTGGCGTTGGGACAATAGTATCCTTTGGGACAGAGTTGATACGTGATGGAACCTTCGGGACAGTATTGAGTGGATTCACATGCAGCAATGGTATGTGTATTTTCACAGTAAAAATCCTTTGGGACAAGGTCTATGAAGGTTGTGTGAAAATTATTTTCAAAAATTTCATTAAGGCAGATTGAAT